ATTGATGTATCAAAGAAAACCTCCTAATAAAAACTGAATAGTCGTCCGACACTCTACTTGATAAAATATCAAATATTACATGTTTAAGTTATCTAGTCATCAAATTTTCACATACTCTTGGTTAACTATTTTGTTTGAACACATCAACTTAATATGACAGGTTGACAACATATATTCTACTGATTATGTGTCTTATGTTAGGAACATGTCCTACATTACACCAGTGGCTGCAGATTACATGTCCTACATTCAACGTAGCAAAGTCATTAATAGACACTCATGTACACAGACAAATTAGCTGTTAAAGTTTGGAATCATGATGCAATCACGAGAAGCAGCAATGCAATTTAGATTTGGAAAAATAAAATTGATCAAATAAATTTGATATAGCTACAAGAGGTGGAAGGTTTTATATGAATTTAGACACTAATCAGAAGGCCAATTTGAAGAAGGTACAAACAGCGAAGAACTCACTAGCTCCATACAGGGATTATGTTCAGTGAGGTGACCTCAGTTCCCAGGAACGCATCACATGCCTAACGAAAGCTTTAATGTCAATTCAGAGACCCTAGAGAGAAAACCTAAGGACATTGCTCCCAGAAGCAAACTAAAACGGTTCTAAGAAAATTACGCTAGAACATGAAAATATGGAAAATCAGCCAGAAACTTCAACAGAGAGAGAAGAGCAGAAAAAGCACAAGATCGAAAGATTTTACTAGGAAAACAAAAGATCTAGCTAAAAATATACCACGAAACAGACCAAACAGAACGAACTCAAACAGAGTCTGCATTGACAAAAAGTTTTACAATGGAAAAGGCATAAATTAATTGAAAACTGACTAAAAATGATCTGGAAAAAAATAAACAATCCACACAGGCAGTTAGAACTTTTCTGAAAGAGAAATTGGCGATTGCAAACTCAGGTATATGGCTCCCTGAGGCTGGGCTAACCACCGGCTCAGCTCAGTATGGTCTAAATTATAATTACGAAGTCAGATCCTCTCTACCTCTCTTGTTAAATAAAATAGAGCATAAACATATACACTGGACTCCACATTTCCACTTTTTTTTTTATTCCCTTCTTTTCCGCCCACTTCATATTTTAAGATTAAGATCATCACAAGAAATGCTAACCAAAATGTCAATATGATTAAGATCATCACAAGAAATGCTAACCAAAACGTCTCTTCTTACAATTCATCAAGCAGAACTATAATCATCTTTTCAAGATAACCATACAATCACTACGATCGGGGACCTCGCCCCCGGCCCCGGCCTGAAGACGAGCACAAAATCATGAAAAATGGTAGATCGGTCAAATTCCGTTCATACCAAAGCTTGTTAGCGGGATCAAGCCGATCCAAGGACCAACAACCACCGAGGCACAGTAAGGCACAAAAACAAGGAAGCCAACGGTGTGTCCGTACAATGAGAGACTATTTGGGCGTAGGTACCTTATCGGTCTCCATATCGGAGCCACGGCGAGCAGCCACCTTCAGTGGTTCATTTCCAGCTTGTGCCTGCGGTGGTGGTTGTGGAATTGTCGCTAGCGGTGGTTGATGGTGGTGCGGCCCAAGGGGATGGAGGCAATGTCAGTCACACAAACTCCCCTCTCCCTCTCCCTCTCCCTCTCCCCCTCTAGTGTCTCCCTCTCTCCTCTTCGCGTCTCTCTCTTGCTGAGTCTATTTTCTCTCTCTCTGAGTCTTCCTCGAGCGAAGAGTGTTGGGGCCAGTCTTTAGAATTAGATCGAGGGGATAGAAGGAAAGCACAATCACGGGAACTTTAGGAGAGTGAAAACACGTCGCAATCTAAACCGTCCAGTGGTCACTTTTATATGTACCGATGGCATTGATTAGTGAGTGATTCGGTGTGGTTAAGTACAGGGTAAGATATTCCGTAACCCTGCATGGAAAATCTAGAGAGAGACGAGGATCACATGAAAACCCCAGTGAAACATACAAATACGTAGATACATCCCTGACATTCACTTAAAACTTCTAAGCAAAGTTCTTGAAGTGTTTATTATTGGCTCTATTTTATATTATTAAATCATTAAACTTTTTGTTCATTATCCTGATCCAAAAAGTGTTTATTATATATTTAGGATGATAATGAATATATAAGAATTCTATTCTTAAGTTTAAAGCACATACTTAAATTAAAAGAACACAGTCAAAACTCAAAATTGTTTTAACATTTAAAAAAAAAAAGTGTTGCTCATATCATCATATAAAAATGAAAATGAAAGTAAGTCTTCGGCGTAACTGTGATTTGTGAATAATCGGGGCTTTGATTAATTTAAGTTTGACCACACAATAAACTAATTAAAATATCTCGATTTAAAAGGAAGGTAATAATTTATTCAAACCTGCTTGAATAAAAATAACTACCTGAGCCGAGCAACAAATGAAATGGTCGTCTACTTTTGTGCTTTTGTTTGATTATTATATAATTTATTTCATAATATTCAATCATCAACTTGTTTTTATTAATGTATGCAATCATCTATCAACATCAATAAATTAATATCTTGATTCAATTCATGACTAATAAACAAAAACTCACATAAATTTCTGAACAACACAAGGATCGTTGCTGTCTAATGTTAATATAAATTTTATAGCATGTTACATATCTATAAATTATGAAGAATATGATTTACCATTTAAGCGTATGAAAACAAAAAAAAAACACGTTTATTATTTTTAACCAAAGAACTAAACAAGTGATGCTAAAACAGGATCTTTCGATTCGTTCATTTCCTAGTCCTAAGGCATACCCGATTACGGCAAGGCCTAGCGAGGTCTCTGGGATTTCCGTGCACGTGAGAGGACCGTCAGGTCACGTGCGCCGTCGTAAAAAATGGGATCTAAATACGGTGGCTGCCGCAGTAGCAATATTAAAACTGAGCGGAAATTAAAGAAGATCTCAAAGTACGTGTATGTGTATTTTTCTAGTAAAATGTAATTTGATGAAGAAAGGGACACAAGGTAGAAAGTCACAGAAGACATGAACCACAATTTGTTGTTACGATTAATTTAGAGGGCAAATATATATATGAAGACATGTAGAAAGATGGAAATACAGGCGAGGGCCCGCAATAAGAAGAGAAGAGGGTGACATGATGAGTGAAGAAGAGAAAGGTGAAAGCCGAAAGTGGGGAACATGGTTTGAAAACGAGAGCCTGCTGAAGAAAAATGTAAGGAAAAGAACAAACATCTAAGTTAGCTACTTGTCCTGGAAGTGACTAGAGAAGTTGGAATCTCATTCTCATAATATCTCCATTCAATGCATTCTCCACACCATATCACACCAAAAATCGCTCTCACACATATTTAACAATAACCTATATAAGTATCTACATCTTTTTCTTTCCTTTCCCCTTCAATATATTCATTACCTCACGACTGATATATTATATAGTCGGATTTGAATTATAAATTAGTTTTATATAAGAAATATATCTTTTTACATCAATCATCTCCGAGACAGACCTCTCTGTTTGAAGCTAGCGTGCTTTCACTGCAGTGTACGTAAGAACTGGATGAGTCTTGTAAAGTGCCTTAATTAGGAAGACTTCACCTGAGTACAGGAAGTGAGCATATGTTTGATTGTACAATAGAAAAAGAGCACAGGATTTATTTTTTGGTAATATTTACTATATATTTAGTATCATTATTTTTATAAAGATATATTTGTTATCATTACGTGTGTTTTCAAATTTTATGTTTAATTCTCATGAAAGAAATAAACATTTTTTTTATCTAGTTATTTTTTATTTGATTTTTTTATACCTTTCTATCTGATAATTTTTCGCGTTAAACTAAAACAACAAAAAGGGGTAGTAAGAAAACATTATTATCTCTGACTCTGATTTTTAAAATGAAAATCTAAGAAGAGGAGATGATTGCTGTCACTTTACACGTCAAGATCCTTCATATAATATATCTATATCTACACACACAGATATATATATATATAGAGAGAGAGAGAGAGTAAAGCGCTGTTAATCATAACCACGGCCCTTTTTAAGAGAACCCAAGGGAAGATCAATTTGACCAGTTTTCAGTTTTTAAAAGTTTAAAAGAAGGAAGAATATGTGGCCTCTGGATCCAACTAATTGGGTTAGTGATCAAGTTCATCTTAGTCTCAACAGCTGGTTTACTTCACTTTTTGACATCATTAATCTGTGGTTGATGGAAATGAAGTCATATCTATTAGCCGATTCTGATGGGCAGATAAAAGCACCAAGTACCCTTTTTTTCTTTATTACACCTGGCACGCTATGTTACCCACTAAGTTGAATTATAAATAAAATAAATAGATGGATTCAGCATCAACGAATTAATTGAATTTTAATACCTTTTTAATTCTAAATATATCTTACTTTTCAGTTCTTAATATAGAACCTAATTATTAGATTAATTTTGGTTTTAAATATAAGACTTATTTATCATATTTATCAATTTTTTTTAAATTATCCCTATGAATCTCCCTCCATCATAATCAAGTAAAAAAGAAATAGAAGATATTAAAAAAGATTATTATAGTGTTTTAAGAAAAACATGTCATATTTCTTATAATTAACTAATTTACCTAACTTTTTTAATTTAATCAAATCAGTTAAATAGATTTTAATTTTAAAGAGTGGAGGAGTGTAATGGGAGTAGCATATAATTACACCTATAATCCTTGAGGCATTGTAATATCTCGTACATTCAACCTGATTTTACTTCTCAGTCGGCCGCAATTTATAAATGCCAAGTGGTTCGGTGAACCATCACAGTTCATATTGTAGGGCAACGAACTAATTATCATGGAAGGGTTCTTTACCACTGGACTCCACTTTTTAATTCCATCTTTTATTCTCGTACGTCAAAGATGCATTAATGTTTTTGGTAAAATGTAATCATATATTTCAAGCCTTCCAAAAAAAAAAAACCCATGTACAGTAAAACGTTAGATTGACTAAAACGCAACAAAGAGTCACCTTCTAGGAACTAAGGAAGGATTCCTTTGAAGCATTCATCACCCTCAAACCTTAAAGACATGGACGTTGAGCAGGTCTTTTCAGAACAAATCAAAATATACCGATCTAGTCCCTTCATCAATTTGAAGTCTTCAATCACAAAAAAAAAAAAAAAGATTAACTTAGCTTCATTATCTATGAACCTTTACTTTAGATTTCATTCAAAGCGTTATATAGGGCTCGTTTGGCATCACGTTTGGGCTTCCAAACGTGGCCAAACGAGCTTCTCCACTGAGCTTCTCCACATGGGTTTGTTTGGATCCACGTCTACACAATTTGACTTCTTAAACTCTGATGGACTTCTGGCAAAAGCTCAATGCAAGGGCTTTTTTCTGGAGCACAATAGCGTTGAAGAAAAAAACGGTTACATATTTATTACCAACCTTAAATTTTATTACCAACCTGCTGCATGTTTATTTTCTCTCAGCTCAATATTAAAGAGAGTTCGGCTTTACACAACACATACAACACACGATCTGAAGCCTCGCTCACGACTGCAAGTCCGTGTTGCTTTTTAGTTATTTGATGTATGGCATCTAATTAATTATTTGATGTATCGTGTGTAAAAATACTATGTTTGTATGATTTCTAATTTATATATTTGTCCATTACATATATTTAATTAAGTATTTTATTATTTTTCAATTTCTTTCTAATATAACTTAAATTTTTTTTAAATTATTTAATTTTTAATACTTCATTTAAAATGGTCACATATATATATAATTTCTTTCTAATAATAAATTAAATTTCTTTATTTTTAATAATTTTTTCTTCCTTAATTCTTAAAAAATAGTCAAATTAATATGAATATATATTATTTAATAAAATTCATGTCCTTTTAAGTCATTTTACATGCAAACTTACTTTTACTTTTATCATCCAAACAAGTTTTAACCTCTCAAACTGACTTTTTTGAAAACCCAATCCAAACATAAATCACATCACCCTATCTGACTTTTACTCAATCTGACTTCTGCAAAAGTCAGATTGAAAAAAAAGTTACTTCTTCATCGCTAATCCAAACACACCCATAGTTGCTTTGACTGAATCCTGAGGTGGGGATAACTCATGGACATGGAAACTTGGGTAGTTACCAAGCTTTGAGGTTGTCTCCCCCCGGGCCTTCACCAATGGAGCCAATGACTGCACAACGTCTGCCATTAGAGGCCTATAATCTACCTCGGGTTGCACACACAGTGCAGCAATGGCGGTTACCTGGATAACTTCCTTCATTGAGTACTGACCTTCCAGTGTGGGATCCACAATCTTTGTAACATTTCTTCTATCATTCAATAGGGGCATGGCCTAAAATGCAACGAGTGAAGGAAATTTTGTGACTTTTGAGTAAACGCTATCAGCAATAATGCCAAGTGTTACAGCTTAATAGTTATAGAACTTTTACTCAGTACTTTTGACGATCAAGAAACTTCACAGATGTAAAGAAAACTATCAAACTCACCCAAGAAACAAGAACACCTTCCCCCGAAGGTCTCTCCATATCAACCGGTACTCGACCGGTTAACAGCTCGAGAAGTACAACTCCAAAACTGTATACGTCTGATTTGATTGTTAAGTGTCCAGTTAATGCATATCTGCATAGGGATGAATTCAGTTTTTCTTGTCATGATTGCTTTCAATACTTGAATAATACATCTAATATGATTGAGTTCAAGATAAACTAACAATATAAGCAGAAATTCTACGTGGGAAAGTTGAACTATGGTACATACTCAGGGGCAACATATCCGTGTGTGCCCAAAACTCGAGTGGAAACATGTCCGCCAGCTTTATCGGATCCAATCTTGGCCAACCCAAAGTCAGAAACCTTTGAATTGAATTGTTTGTCTAAGAGGATGTTACTGCTCTTAAAATCTCTGTGGATAACTGGGGGACTCACATGTTCATGTAGATATTCCAAACCCTTAGCAGCCTCCAGCGCTATTCTTAACCGGGTGTTCCAGTCCAATTTCATGGGTGTGACGTAAGAATCTACAAGGTGGATGAAAAGTAAATCTCAACAAAAATCCAAGTTCAAACTCAAATTCGATACAGAAAATAAAAAGGAAAAGGTAAAGCAAAAACAGAACAACCTCAAACATTTCTTCCTGCATCGACATTTCACATATCTTTCATACATTGGGATTATTTTCAATGAATGACCACTTACTTTTGACTGGATAAAGATGATCTTGCAGGCTCCCATTTGCCACGAACTCATAAACCAGCAATTTATGATTTCTATCAGAGCAATACCCAAGCAGTTTCACCAAATATGGACAGCGCAGCCGACCAAGCAATTCCACCTACAACGAGGTATAGCCAACCAATTCTTAGTACACTTTGCTAATATAGGCCATTGATCCGATGAAATTCATGGCAAGACCATTTACTATAATCAAAATCCAAAATTTTCATTGTTCTGATTTCTTTTGGAGGTCAATTTTATTGTTTTAGTGACATGTAAAATGGATTAACTACATATGAAACAACAATGCATCCATTTTCCCCCAGTCCATGAAAAAGTTAACAGGTCTAAAACTAAGAAGGATCAAACCTCTATTTTAAATTCTTCTTCTCCTTGCTTTCGTTCCTCATCCATGAATTTAATTGCGACATTCCTGCCATTGTTGAGCACTCCCCGGTAGACAAGTCCGAATGTGCCGCGGCCAATTACATTTGATTTGCTAAAACCTTTGGTTGCAGAATGCAACTGTTTGCAAGTGAACACTTGAAGCCCATTATCAGCAACAACTTGCAGATTTGCAAGGTCACTTTTCAGATTATGACCGGCATCTAATATATAAAAGCAAGCATAATATGTCGGTAACTGAAAAAAAAAGGTATTATGTCTATTTGATATTAAGGAAATACAGGGCAAGAGGAAAAAGTGGAACTTGGCACTTTTAGTTACATAGCTCCTAATTCCTACATACATACATATATATATAGAGTCCTTCATTCCTTTTTGAGAAAGGGGAGAGCTTAAACCTTCAATATCTGTTTTCTGAATTTTTCTTGGCCATCAAGGAGACTCAATAACAAAGAAAGAATATAATTGGTAAATTCAAGTGTAGCTCACATGATTGGTTCTCGTGGCGCTTGGAAGCCTTGCTCCTTCTGTAGCAATAGTAAATGAGGGCAACTAGCAATGCGAGCAAAGCCAGAGAAGTAAGCACTGTGATGGCTATTAGTGCAATCCGCGCCTTCCTTCTATACCCATACTGCGTCTCCATTTGTCAAGTTTCAACAGGAAAATATTAGAAGGAACGGTGAAAAAGTGAGAAACTATAGCCAAAGCCCAAGATGATTAAACAACGTGAATGTGAAAGTGAAGAAGCTACAAAGAATGGGAGAAGACAGTGCAGCACAATTTGCTCTAACATTAACTGTGTTTCTTCCACTAGTTCATTGAATTTCTGTTAAACCATTTACAGAATTCAACAAACTGAAATAGTTAAGCATGTAGGCTTAGTGTAGAACAAGATTGAAACAGGAAACACGTTTAGAATTTCTACAAACAACAGACTCGACCCAGATAAAAAAGAGGAAACAGGGGCCGGCACTCTAAAAAATAATAAAATTTTGAAATCTGTCTTCGTAGACTTGTTCACAACTTCAAGTGGCATCGTCTTTGGGTTTTTTTCTTTCTTTTGGTAACATTTAAAGCCGTGAAAAATGAATAATGTAATTGGAGTGTTAAGCTGAGAAGGAGTAGACCAAGTTGGACGAGGTCTTACAGGCGGCAATGACAGCAAAACAAGAAGGCGCATCTCGTTGCAATCGGCAAAACTATTCTTATGTTTGTCCATTTATTGCCGCACGCCGGTTGATCGTCAAACCGTTTCATGTAGTACACATTGTGTTGATGCGCGCAAATGCTGAAATGGGGAAAAAAAAAATTTTAAAATCTTATATAAATGTTAGTCACTTCTGTCATAAACATAAAACCCAGTTAACTAATTCATGATTATTAAGATGATTAATTAAATTGGTTAGTTGTTGTTATTATATCAAAAATATGTCACTTCTCTTACAATAATCTCTTCTGCTGAGAGACTGAAAAAAACGAGGGAAACCGTGAAATGTTAAATAAGAGGGAATTGAGTTGCTTAGACTAAAATACAAATCATGATTTAGATTTTATATTTAAGACTAAGTAAAATGACAAGGGTGGTGGGGTCTTTCACAAGCATTAGATTCAAATTTCATTACTGATATTTGGCACATTTCTTCAAGTGACATGCTGCTTTGCTAAGTTTTTTTTTTTTTTTCAATGAATAAGTCAATGATAACTTGGCCAAAATAAAATTGTGTATTCACGAAAACAAAAAAAGAAAAATTCGTGGATAATTCGCCTCTCCCAGAAATATGGACACAGTGCATATTTGAGGTTGAGAACTTTTGGTATTCAATCGTCACAAAATATGCATATAAGAAGATATTTTATGTACTGCTCTGGGAAGATATTCGACGTCGTCTCTCTCAATAGAGCTGAACTCTCTATACCACTTGTTATCAAAACCTTATCGTCTATGCTCTCGTGATTTTTGAACTTTTGCCTACTTTTATGCCCCACGTTTAAAATTCCATTCATCAACCATGTCCTTTTCTTCGATCAATCACAATTCACGCCATTGATGGCATAATCTTGGCCTCTTCTTCATCATCCTCCATTATTACTCATCTTCATATCACTGGTGGTGGCTCATCCTCCTCCATATCCACCATTCTCTCTCTTCTGAATCCTCAACAGATCCACCACTCAACAACAGAATCCACATTCTACATTGCTTTCTCTTCGTTCTCTCTCACAGCGCATCAGAATACTCACTGCCATTATCATGGCCGCGTCTCAGACCAGACCCACATGGTCCGAACTCATAGGAAGCAAAAATTGGGAAGGCCTTCTCGACCCCCTCGACCTCGACCTTCGAAAACTCATCCTTCTCTCCGGCGACTTCATACAAGCTACCTACGATGCCTTCAACAACGACCAAAACTCCAAGTACTGTGGTTCAAGCCGCTACGGGAAGTCATCTTTCTTCCAAAAGGTCATGCTCGAGAACGCCTCCGATTACAAGGTCGTCTTTTTTCTCTACGGCACCGCACGTGTCAGCGTCCCTGAAGCCTTTATCCTTCACTCCCTCTCACGTGAGTCTTGGGACCGCGAGTCCAACTGGATCGGCTACATCGCCGTCACCTCCGACGAGGTCAGCACAGCCTCGGGCCGCCGTGAAATCCACCTCGTGTGGCGGGGGACCACGAGGAATTATGAGTGGATCAATGTGTTCGGTGCTGCCCCTGTATCAGCAAAAGTTCTGTTAAGCGCAGAGACATTAAAGGACATCAGTAGCAGCAGTGATGGTGATGATGAAGATGAGAATGAAGGAATGCCGAAAGTGATGAGTGGCTGGCTTACAATTTACACATCGGACAACCCAAAATCTCCATTTACTAAAACAAGCGCTAGAACCCAAGTTTTAAAGAAGGTGAATGAATTGCTCAAGCTTTACAAAGACGAAAACCCAAGCGTGATTATATCAGGACATAGTCTTGGGGCAAGCTTATCGATTTTGAGTGCTTTTGATTTAGTGGAAAACGGAGTCAAAGACGTTCCGGTGACAGCAATAGTATTCGGATCTCCTCAAGTTGGGAACAAAGCATTCGATGAGAGGTTGAAGAAGATGACTAATTTAAAGGTTCTACACACAAGGAACGTGATTGACTTAATAACACTTTATCCAGGCGGGTTATTGGGGTACGTAGACACATCAGGAACAGAGTTGAAGATCGATACAAGAAAGTCGCCGAGTTTGAAGGACTCGAAGAATCCAGGTGACTGGCATAACTTGCAGGCGATGTTGCATGTGGTGGCGGGGTGGAACGGAGCAGGAGGAGAGTTTGAGATGAAGGTGAAGAGAAGCGTGGCTTTAGTGAACAAGTCATGTGAGTTTCTGAAAGACGAATATATGGTGCCAGGGTCATGGTGGGTGGAGAAGAACAAAAGTATGGTGCGTAGGGAAGATGGAGAGTGGGTTTTGGCTTCACCAGATGAGGAGGACATGCCTGTACCTGAAAATTGAATGAACAGACTGGCTGTAGAGTTGTAGTTGTAGGGTCTGCCTAGTTCTATTTGCTGTTATATCATGGACTGTCTTTTGATTGCCAGGTGTGTTTTTGTCTTTTTGACCTTTTGTTGTGACATTTATCCTTTCGCGTGATATTATTATAAATGGGCAAATGAACAGCGACGGTGCAAAATTTAGATCTACATTATTTATATTTTTCTAGGTTTATTTGGCATATTTTGTTTAAATCTGATATAGATAATGTAAATTAAATAAGTATATATTTCCTCCCAACTTTGGAACAGTGGAGGGGTTCATGTTCATATATTGGGAGTTAATTATTAATTGCCACGTATAGGAACTAGGGGTTCATGTTCCATCTCAATTTTGAGATTAAAATTATTGGGGTTTAAAAAAATTGATACTCAACATTGTATATAGGGGTAAGATAATTTTGAAACCTTGATTGGTTTTCTAGACATCAACAATGATCATGTCTTTTGCTATTCTAGATAGATACAGTCACCTCCAATTAGTGACACAGAAAAAATCCAACTGAAGTATGCTTTTTTCCAAATTTAAGAAAAAAAATTAGAAAAACTGAGAAAAATTCGCCCATTAAAATTTTATTCATAAATTAGAGCACCAATACTCTGTATGTACAAAATTTACACGGCACCAATACTTTATGCGTATAAATAAAAACATTTTCGAATTCTTATTCTCACCGATAAAATTTTTAACGTAAAACTTTTTACCAATTTTCCCAAAAAATTAAAACATGCAACTAATTAGAGTCACAACCAACAAACTTACTTCTCTAGCATTTATTTATTCCAACTGCTCAGTGGTCACAGTCATACTTGCATATATACATGTTTCAGCTTGAAACCGTCATATTCTCTATTTCTTGCCGCGCAGTTTGGCTCCAAGAGCCCTCTCCAGCTTGTTAAGTATCTGTTGGTTTGGAATGGCTTTTCCTGATTCGTACTCCTGAATCACTCGAGGTTTCTCATTGATCATCTGCAAGCAGTTATCACAGAGTCTCAGAACACATAGAAGGGAGGGAGCAAAGAGAGAGAAATATACCTGAGCAAGCTGTGCCTGGCTAAGTTTCTTCTCCATCCGAGCTTTCGTAATAGCTTTCTTGAGTTCAGTTGGCACACGTCCATCTACTCTCATTGTCAAACCACGCAGAATGATATGAACATAAAGATTTAAAGAGAATCTAGAGATAACAGTCGTATATTTGCCACTCAAAATGAAAAAAAGATCAATCAATGAAGTAATTCAGTGATGGTAAATAGATCGAACCTGAGCATGAATTATATATATAGAGAACTAAATACATGATGCATTTGATGTTATGTTAAAGCTACTAAAAGAAATGGAAGTAAATGTGACAATGATTAACACATACTACCTTGGATTCCTAATCTAAGACTTAGTTGATTAATTTGGAGAGGTTAAAAAATTACTAAATTACTTAACATATACAGCATATATTGCATGATTTTTCTAAAATACTTATGCATGTCATTAGAATATATATCAATTTATAAGCAAAACAAATTAGTTTGGAGAAAAACAATAAACATGAATACTTTAAAATAATTTAGTAATTTTTTAATCTCTCCAAATCAGTGAACTAAATCTTATATAGTTATATTAAAGGCAGGAGGTAGTATATCAAGAGATACCACACTGTTTACAATTCTGTGCTCCGGCTATCTAGTTATTATTGTATTAAGATATAAATGATGATTGCCAACATTTGTTTTTCAAATTCAAGAAGTTATAAGCATAGATAATAAATACATCATGCAGAGTTGTCTCAGGAGTAGAATGTGCAAAGAATAAAATCATGCAAGTGCACTCACGAGCTAGATTCTCGTTATCTTCATCCAGCCTCTTCGTGTTCAGTGAAGTTGTACTAGAAGCAGGCTTGTTTGTGCCAGCACTATCTGCAATGAAAAATTGAACAATCCTCGGCAATTATCAGTTATGACTCATGAATCAGACGTAGGATTCACATGAGATACTACATCCAGTCCTAATTATAAGATCTCTTTTATAGATTATAAACAAAATCTTATAATTAAAACCGGAAGCAGTAGAAGATAATATGCATGCATACACACACAGGGACATCATACTAATTAATGCAAGCAACTTTGTAATACTCTTCCGGTCCTTAATATGGGACCCAATTGTTGAGTTGGTTTTAGTCCTAAATATAAGACTCATTTATCATATTTATCAATTTTCTCTAAACTACCCCTATAAATACTCCCTCAACCATAATCAAGTAGAAGAGGAAGAAAGGGTATTAAGAAAGATAATTATGGTATTTTAGAAAAAACGCGTCACATTTCTTATAATTAACTAACTTATTTAAATTTCTTAATCTAATCAAATTAGTTAAATAGGTCTTTTATTAAAGACCGGAAGAGTATTACTTTAGAAAATAGACAAGCATTACTACTACGGATATTTCCTGCCTCTTTCCTTATTTTTGCTAAAGATAAAAAATATTAGTTCAGAGAATACGCTTGCAACATAACTCTGTTGCCTAAAACACCAAATTATCATGTCCAAATCGCATCGATCACGGGTGATGAAGTTTAGATCAACTCACACCACAAATATCATCTATTAATCAAAAACTCCCTGTAACAATAAGAGCAAAAAAAATTTTAAAAAAAGGGGCAAACATAACTAAATCACAGTTTGTGTGTTTGATTTATCCGTGGGTAAGGGAAGGACAAATTTTTATATGGATAACTTGGCTCTTATTTTATTTAAGTTATTTTTTTCATATTATATAAAATGTTTAATGAAATGTAATTATAAATAACATTTAATACATAAAAATATAATTTTATAACTAGTAAAGTTGAATAAATATAATTATAACACATAATTAATAGTTAATATACACAATAATTATAATTATATATGTCTAAAATTATATTTTATAATAATAATAGTTGTAATAGTAATTCTTAAACCTTTTCATGGACGAAGAACGGCAACTTGATGCTCAATAGTTATATTTTACAACCTCGAAACAGCTCTTGCCGTAATGAACTCGCCTCCCCTCATCGCTACTTGTTTCACCGTCGCCTGCTCTAGCCTTTGCCTCACCACCGGTGACTCCTTCAGGCCCTAGTCCAGGTTGGAGAGGATGGCGAAAGCCTGACCACTGTCTTCAGGTGCTAAGGATGGCGAAAGCCACAGCTCCGGTGGCGGCAGAGGAGAGGCGAGACGGAGGCACACAAGCGCGTGAAGAAGCGGGTGACGTCGCTATGGGTGGGTAGAATTGGGATATTAAAAAAAGTATTAAAATTGCATGAACAATTTAGAGTATGTTTCTTGAAACCAAACCATAGTTTTTTTTAAAAATAATTTTATAAAATACAAAATAAATATGTAAAACATACTAACCACTTACCGAAGTACCGAAGTCCAACAAATTATTTTTCCCGAGAAAACTGCTTTCAGAAGGGAGAGGGGACCAACTAAGCACACTTACCTTCCCTCCCAAAAAAAACAAACACCAATTACCGAAAATAGGTGATTTTTCAGACAAGCAGAAAGCAATCCAAAAAATTTAAAATTAGCTTCTCCAATTAAATTATAATAACAACAAATCATGTAGAGACATGGTTCCACAAGGAGAGAAACTGACATTTCTTGAAGGTCTCGACCTCAGCGCCAGCGCGGCGAGCTGCATTGACGGCTTTCTCGTCCTTCTTGGCGGCGGCGGTCGGAGCTTTCTTCCGGATCAACATCGGCTCCTGAACTTGAGGAAACATGTACACCGGCTCCGAAAACTGCATATTACTGATCACCGGCCCCTTAACTTGAGGAAACATGTACACCGGCTCCGAAAACTGCATATTACTGATCACCGGCCCCTTAACCTCACTACGATCCACTATCCGCCAAGAAATCGGCAGATCCGAATTCTCTAGCTCTATCTTATGCATAAGTTCAGACCTGATTTCTCGGAGACGAGTATCTTCTTCTCTTTCTCGGAGAAGAGACATAGCTTTCTTTCAATGTTCTCTCTGTGACCTTGAGGCGCACGCTCTTGTTGGCTCTTGAAGCAGGTATAGTTCCCGGTGTACTATGAATACCCTTAAAAAGACCGAATGTGCTTAGGCTGCAAGCTAGAATAGACTCTCTACTTTTTCCCCACTAATCCCCCTTCCTCCTTCCTTACTAAGCAACAATGAGTAAAGCGTTTCAACAGACTTTGTGTTTGGCTTGAATAAATTTTAGATTTAATTATTGTATTAATACTCCTCGAGTCCTTAATATAAAATCCAATTGTTGAGTTGGTTTTGATTCTAAATATAAGATCTATTTATTATATTTATCAATTTTCTCTAAATTACCCCTATGGATACTCCTTCAATCACAATCAAGTAAAAGAGGAAGAGGGGTATTAAGAAAGATGATTATGGTGTTTTAAGAAAAACATGTTATATTTCTTATAATTAACTAACTTATCTAACTTCCTTAATCTAATCAAATTAGTTAAATTGGTCTTATATTAAAGACCGGAGGAGTATAATTTTTTTGTCATTAAGTTAGCCCTATTTTAATTTTATTTCTTCAAATTTCAAATAATAAATTTTGGCTTCTCAAGTTTTTTTCATTTTAAATATTGGCCCTTTATAATTTAATAACAATTTGAACTATTTTATTTTTTAAGGGACTAAAATCTATGATTTAAAATTTAAAACATCAAAATAAAAAAAAAGTAAAAATTTGAAAGACAAAATACTATAACCTTTTAATGTTTTTATATTTTTTTTGGCAGATTTAAATTATTCAGATCAAATTATAGTGGTTTAGATTAAGGTGCCAGGGTCGTGATAGGTCGCCAAGAGCAAAAACATGGTGCATAGGGAAGATGGAGAGCGGGTTTTGGCTTCACCAGATGAGGACGACATGCCTGCACCTTAAGACTGAATGAGAGCGTATTTGGCTGAGTGTTCGAGAAGCCTAAAAGCTAGTACTCTTGTTCTTAATATAAGATATAATTGATTAATTTAGAAAGATTAAAAAAATTAGTTAAATTAGTTATTTGTAATAAATAAGTGTTGTTTTTTTTAAAATATTCTCACTAACTATGTGTATTAGCTAAAACTATTACTTGATGGAACCTTTAATATATACAATTACTATAATAACTACTTTGAAAAAAAAAAGATAAATATGAAAAACAAAGTGAATTAAAGTCTTATACTTGAAATCAAATTAGAAATCAAACTAGTTTATACATTAAGAACCCGGGGTATTAATTATTTCATCCATAAGCACATTTGAAATTTCAGTACCTGTTTGGTTGAGCTTTTAGCTCATCTTACTTATGAGTCAAAAGTTAGATTCAGAAACAGGTTGCTTAAAGTAGAAAAAAGTTACTTGTAACTTATTTACTGTGGTTAAAATTGTTGGGAGAAAACTGATATGGTGTCAAAAAGTATTTTCTCTGTCTGAGATGTTTGAATAGAAATTAAGTCATGATTTTGTTTTTACGGTTTACGAAGTAAGAGGTTGCCAAACGTCTCCTTGTTCATCATTACTTTGAACGTGGATGTTGAACAGCAAAGATAAACAGCTCTTGGAGTTTTTCAAAAAAATTTCAATAATGTCTCTAATGTTTTAAAATATTTCAATCATTAAATTTTACTTCTTCATATTAAAACATTTTAAATTTATTATATTTTATAAATTTATTTTTTATCATTTAATAAAATTCACACCCATTTTAATAATTTTACAAACTCAATTTACTTTTATTCAATCATAATCTAAATAACTTTTTATCCAATCTAACTTTTTAAACTAATTTTTATAAAATCTAATCTAAACATAAATCACATTACCCAATCTAACTTTTTTAAAAGCCAAATTAAAAATAAGTTACTTTTCCTACTGCAAATCTAAACCGACCCTGAAGAGACTGTTTGCAAAGTCTTGTTCTACGCAATACTCCTTTTTTCATGAGTTGCAAATTTTAGCTGAATTTGTTTATTTTTATAAGTTATATTTTAGAAATTTCTGAACATCTGACATACTTTTTTAATTTTTATTCCTGATCAATTTTATGTTATTCTCTTTTTTTTTCATTTTCTTTCCTACTCATACTTTCCATAAATAAGAATATTTTGAGAAAGTATTCTTATCTAACATATTTATTATTTTAACCAATGTTTTAGTTTATCTCTGGGCCTTAGGGCTCGTTTATTACCAGAGGGAGGGAAAAAGAGCGAGAACTGGAGAGAATATTTACTGCTATATCTTCTTTTTTATCATGACACTTGTTCGGCTTGATATTATATAAATGGGCAAAAGAACAGCGACGGTTCAAATTAGATCTAAATGATTTTTTTTTTATCAAAACGTCTAGGTGATTTAGATTTTATTGATTTTATTTGATATATTTTGTTTGCATGTGATATAGATAATGTAAATTAAATCAGTATATATTTCCTGCCAATCTTTGGAACAGCGGAGGGGTTGGTGCTCGCATATTGGGAGTTAATACTTAAATGCCACATGTAGGGGCTAGAGGTAATCACATTATTAGTTGTATGAAGAACAAAAGGCGTATTAATTCGTTATGGATTATTTCTTAAGATAATTCTATGACCCTTTTCCGTAAATGTTTAGCGCTGATCTTAAAAATGAATATCATTATACTTATCATATAATAAAATTCGCACCATCATATCTAGTTTTAATTGTTTAGATTTAAAAATTTTAACTAATAATTTTTAAATAATAAAATTATATTTTAAAAAATTGAAATTTAAGACATTATTTTTATTTTAAATTTTATACTTATTAAAATAATTTTTTTGAAAAATAAAAATAAAACACAAATTTGGACCTCCCATCCCAGGTTACCGAAACTCAATCCTGTGCGGCTAAATGTGCCCTGTTACAGATATTTAACATTGATTACAGTGAATAGCTGAACAATACTGCATCTCCAAACGACATGCCTTATTTAGAAGGACTACATTCAGAGACTTTAATTTAAAAAAATAATTGAAAAAACAGATATTGTTTCATTTTTTTCAACAAAATTTTATTTTAAAAGTGACTATTTCAATCATTACAAGAAAAATACAAATAAAAGTGACACAACAATACTCTAGCTCTACGTGGTGGCCACCTAAATATTAGTACTTCGTAGTCCATAGAACATAAAGAAAATGACCTCATAGGATGACAGCAAGCGGTGAAAATGAGTAAAGTCTTTATTAAGTCTACAATTTAATACAAGTCGGGTAAAAATAAAATTATGATTTTAAAAATATTTTTACAGTATATAAAATAAATATATAAAAAATTTGTTTTAATTTACAAAAACATATTTTTAAAAAGTATTTTTATACTAATTCAAACACCTTCTCATTTTTATTAGGACTTAGGGAGTGTTTGGATAAAAACCAAACCATGGTTTCAGAAGTGTTTTTACGGATTACGAAGTAAATATGTGAAGGAGATTACCTCGTTTTGCGGAAAAGTACTTCTGAAACCACGGTTTTGGAACACCCAAACAGAGCCTTAGCCTGTTTGTTAAACAAACAGGCTAGGTTAAATCCTATTTAAAGGCTTAGATAACCTAGCCTGTAAGCCTTCAAGGCTAGTAGCTTATCCTTTTACGCATTAAAAATATATATAATTATATTTATATTATATATATGGTAATTATGCTTTTTATTCTTATATTGTAGTTTAAAGATACAATTAGTTGTCTGTTGTAATACCCTGAGTTTTTATCACTCTCTTCACGCTAAAACATTCAACCTCTTCTATTGAATCCTAGCTGTCACCACTATCTCCCTTTGCCTTTCCATTCTTCCTCACAACCCAGTACGCGTTCCTCCGTTCTTTCAAACTGTCATTTTTCATTCTTCACTCTGTCCTATGGTTTTCTGGTTTATAGATATTTCCTCACATTAATGTTTTTTTTATAATGATAATCAGCAAGCAAAATTAATTCTGCGCAGCCACACAAATTTTCCCTCTTGAAAATGGTGATGAATGTGGAGACTACCTCCATTCAGTCTTGATCCCGCAAACTTGCATAGTTGCAATCGAATGATTGTGGGCAACTAGATATTTTTGCACGGATATTCTTTTCTTTTTTTTTTCAATTTGATTGTATTGGATTTTTGTGTTCTTTTTCTAGAGTATTATTACTTACTAGTGAGATCATTTTCTATAATTTAGATTTCAAATAACCCTTTGAATCAATTTTTATTTTGACTTATTAAATTATATGAATTAAGTTTTTTTCCGGTAAAATTTTTTTATTTAATCATATAGTAGAAGCTTAATAAAGTGTAGGTCTCAGCCTATTTAACATCTTCAAAACCTGATTTTTTGAAGTCTATTTAAAGGATTAAGGTGCACCTAATATCTTTAACTATTTTTTCAAGTGTACTCAGTGGTCTGAAATTATTTGTAGTGCAATTTCACCCTTAAAATTATTAAATTGGTGCAATCTTATCCAAAACTAACTCTCAGTTACTTTTGACTGTTAACTTGTTGAATCACCAAGAATTTGATCAAATGAATCTTAGGTGGCATATAACAATCACATGACATGGCAATTTTTCAAAGTTGAAAAAAAAATATAAAAAACAAATCTATGGCAGAAACATTTGGAGATATACAACTCATGGACATCGCAGTGAATTTTTCAGTCCTTTGTCAATCTTTCAAAATGAACAGATTTAAGCTACAGGATGCTGAAGCAAGTGACTTGGTGGAGGAAAAGAAGGCATGAAGCAACTAGCTAATTCTGAAATGGGTCCAAAATAGTCATCTTCATAAGGAGAGGCGCATGGATTATCATGCTAATAGTGATAATAATGACAATCTTTTCATGGACGGATTCGAACCGGCTAGTGAGTTTCAAGAACACGCACAATCAAAGAAGAGGGATTGGGGGAAAAATGAAAGCTTTGTCTGATCCAAACCTTTGGCCCTAAGCTTTCTTCTCTCCTTATCTAGATCCAAAACCAAAGCATATAAAAGTGAACTTTCTGCTCAGTGGATTCTCCGAGTCCAACGGCGTTCTGTGCATCGCCAAAGGCGCACGCACTACTTAGATCTAGTTGAGTCCGACCTTCTATTGATTGTTTCAGATCCTAGGTTTGCGTCTTAGGATTTAGATCTGGTTGATCTGGCGACCTTCCTCCTCATGCAATATTGTGATCTTGTCCCCCCTTAAGCGGACCTAGTCGTCATCTCCAATGGACTCAAATCTGATCCTTATCCTTGTTGTTCTTCTTGTTCTTTTTGCTTGCCTCTTCTTTTCCAGTTGTGCACTTGTGCTGCTCACCAGTAGATTTTTTTTTTTTAAATTTCAAAACATTGCCATGTCACGTGCTTGTTATATGCCACTTAAGATTAATTTGGTCAAATTCTTGGTGGTTCAGCAAGTTAATAGTCAAAATTAATGGAGAGTTAGTTTTAGATGAGATTGTACCAATTTAATCATTTTAAGGGTGAAATTGCACTACAAATAACTTTAAGATACTGGATGTAGTTGAAAAAATAGTTAGGATACTGAATGTGCCTCAATCCTATTTTAAACAGATTTATAAAAAAACTTCAAGCTTAATCAAGCTTTTTGAAGGTTCAGGTCTAAATTTAAACAAAACCTATATGCTGGTTCAGGCTTTAGGCCTTTATTACAAGCTCAAGCTTAAGCCTATCTGGTCAAATCTTTACTTGACCTCACTTTTCACTTCTAATGATAGCTATTCTTTTTTTGACCAGAAACCTAATGATAGCTATTCAAGTCCAGTGAATAAACCCGCCGGCTTTGGACCAAAAAAAAAAAAAGAATAAACCCGCCGGCCCCCCTTTGTTTTTTTTTTAATAACTTTTTTGGGAGGATGGCCCGAGGGACGTTGGGGGTGTGTTTAAAAATAGGCTCGCTATAACTAGTGGTCACCAAACTAATAATTGAGTGTTCGTTTGGATCAGCGATTGAAAAAACTGCTTATTGAAAAAGCAGTTTATGGATAAGTAAAATTGGGTAAAAACTAAATTAGATAAGTTGAATTGTGTTTGAATTGGAGTTCAGAAAATCCTGTTTGCAAAAATGAGATTGGTAAAAAGTTGTTTGGATTATGGTTAAGTAAAAGTAAGTTTGGTTGTAAAATGACCAAAATGAGCATGAGTTTTAATAAATAATGAAAAATGGAAAAAAATAATTTCACATAATACAATGGAATTAAAATAATTTAATATGAAGAAGTAAATTAAATTTTAAAATTTTAGAGAAATCAAAAAAATTATTTTAAATATAAAGTGAAAGAAGAAAAAAATTGAATTGAGATAATATAATGAAGAAGTAAAATTTAATGAGTGAATTAGAATTAAGAACTTTAGAGAAATCATAAAAAATATTTAAGAAATGAAATGCAACATGATAAAAAAAAAATAAATTAACATAATACAATAAATTTAAATTAACGAGGGACATTGGCTGAAGAAAGAGAAAAGTTCAGGAGAATGGATAGCTCTCTGACGCGAAAGAAAAAGAAGAGTTCAGGAAGAAATGAGGGACATCGGCCGAAGAAACAGAAAAGTTGTATCTCAACGGTAAAAAATAAGCCCTTAAGCTGATCCCATAAGCCAGAAAAGAGAGTTTAGGCCAGAAAGTGCGCTTATCAGCTAAAATCTCATAAGCTGCTTTTTTTTTTAAACCCAACCAAACAGGGTAACCGAACCAATCGGGCTTACACTGCAAATAAGGTCTTTAGAAGCCCTCTAAAAGCCCTACCAAACGGACCCTGAAAAGATGTCTTGACACCTTGTTTGGTTTACTTGACGTCGACGACCATTTCCTTTACTATTCTACATAGATGTACTCACAAGGAAGTAATTCAATTTGAAATATGTATGTTTTTCAAATTTAAGAAAAAAATTAAAGAAAATGGGGGGAAAAGCCCCTTAGGAGAAATGTTGATGGTGAAAAAGACTTAAATTAGAATAGCAGCGTATAAAACCTTTTCAGACGCTTCTTATCAATGAAATTTTTAATGGAAACGTTTTCCAAATTTTCCAGAAAAATTAAAACCTTTAACTATTCAGGAGTCATAATCAACAAAATTTATTTCTTTCATATCTATTTATTCCAACTAGTTAAAATCATCATAGCAACAAAACGTCATCATACAACTCACATCTTCACAAGTATACATGTGAATGTGAACAATAGAACCTTAACATAGTGTTGTGCCTCGCACTGATGTACCGATTGCACAACTCTTCACAATTCTAACAACTGCAGGGTGTCTCCAACTAAATCCACGTGATACGGAATAGCGGGTTATAAGTGCTGTGAGTTCAGTCCGTATGAAATGTGAATTAACATGCACGTTTCAACTTGAAACCGTCACATTCTCTTCCCTATTTCTTGCGGCGCAGTTTGGCATCAAGGGCCCTCTCCAGCTTGCTAATTATCTGTTGGTTTGGAATGGCTTTTCCCGACTCGTACTCCTGAATCACTTGAGGCTTCTCATTGATCATCTGCAAGCAGTTATAGCTATCATACTAACTACCTATAGCAACATTAGAAGACATCAGAATACATAGGAGGGAGCAGGGGGGACAGAGAGAGAAATATACCTGAGCAAGCTGTGCCTGGCTAAGTTTCTTCTCCATCCGAGCTTTCATAATAGCTTTCTTGAGTTCAGTTGGCACATGTTCATCTACACTCATTGTCAAACCACGTAGAATGATATGAACATCAAGATTTAAAGAGAATCAACAGAAACTACACTACTTACAAGTTATAAATAACATAATTCATATCAGACATTGTACCCCCAATCATCTAGTTATTATATCAACATGTTAAATATTAATGATATTTCCGACCCTTGTTTTCAGATTCAAGAAGTTATTACAAGCATAGATAATGCAGAAACATTATGTAGATATTATTCAGATAGTTAACTTCCCCATATCTAAAGCTTCTTAATTTCTATCCAGAAAAACAAACTTTTACTCAGGCGTAGATATGAGAAAGTTGTCTCAGTAGTAGAATATGGAACACAACTGAATTTAATTTGTTAATGTATGCAAAGAATGCAATCATGTGTGTACACTCACGAGCTAGATTCTCCGTGTCTTCATCCAGTTTCTTAGTGTTCAGTGAAGTCGTACTAGAAGCAGGCTTGTTTGAGCCAGCATTATCTGCAATGAAAAAATAAACCTTCAACATTCTGACTGAGCAATTAAGGGAGCTTATCAAGGTAAGACTGGTGAATAACACACAACCGGACTATTAGGTGTGACCTCTAATTGGTTCTCACTGCTGAAAGTTCAACCCAAACGAAATATTACAAGAAAAGTAATCATAAGGTACCATAGTTTGCGGTTAAAATTAGGTAATATCCATTGTCTCACCCCATATACAAACACACCACTACAAAATAAGACGAGGATAGTCAGTTATAAAGTACAAGCTGTACAACTCTGTCTCCCTTCTCAAACAAAAAGGCAGAAGTCTCTGCTTTTTAAAGCTTGTTTTCATGTTTCAATCCCTGAATCACAGTTCTTTTTTTTGACTGGAAACATCTGTGTTTCTTTGGAAGAATTCCTCACTCCCATTAGGCAAAAATTAATAGCACCTTAAATTATCAGTTACGACTCATAAATCAAACGTAGCAGTCACCAGAAATAGGAGATAATGCATGCACACACACACAGACATTATACTAATGCAAGCAACTTTGTAATATTACTTTAGAACATAGAGAAGCATTACTCCTACGAGATATTTTTCAACATGGACGATTTGGAGAAGGAACTGCAACCTATAAAAATGAGTTTATTAAGCACGCCAAAAGATTTGCCCTGAGTGTAATTTGAGAATTTATGGAACGATAAACGGACATTTCCTGCTTCTTTTTCCTTACTTTGCTGAAGATCAGGAAGATTAGTTCAGAGAATACAGTTGCAACATAACTCTGTTGCCTAGAACACCAAATTATTATGTCTAATCGCATCAGTCACGGGGGAAAGAAGTTCAGATCAAATCCCACCACAAATATCATCAATTAATAACTCCTTGTAATATTAAGAGCCAGAGAGAAAAAAGCGCAAACGTAAATAAATCACTACGCATCAAATAATCATATAATAAAATGATTTCATACGAGCGGGAAATGCAATCCAAGAAATCTAAAATTAGTTTCTCCAATTAAAATAAGCATAATATAAGAAATGCAAACCAGGTAATATGGTTCCGGAAATGCAAACCAATATACCAAGCTCCATAATATAAGAAATGCAAACCAAGCAATATAAAAGATAAATAGCCGAAAATTCTAATCGCAACGAATCATTTAGCGACAATCACGTTCGTAATCGTAGCAAGAATATGGTCCCAAGTGGAGAGAAACTAACATTTCTTGACGGTCTCGACCTCGGCGCCAGCGCGGCGAGCTGCATTGACGGCTTTCTCGTCCTTCCTGGCGGCGGCGGTCGGAGCTTTCTTCCGGATCATCACCGGTTCCCAATCCTGCCGAATAGGCCCAACTCCAGACATAGCTTTCCTTCAATGTTCTCTCTGTGAGACCTTGAAGCGCACGCTTTCTTGTTGGCTCTTTGAAGCAGGTATAGTTCCCGCCTTCCCGGTCTGGGCTCTTATAAAGGTCGATTGTGCTTGGTGCGCACGCCAATGAAACCCGTCCCTTGCAAACATTTACAAAAGGCGGCGGAAATATTTCGGGAAGTCTAAACATTTGTCCCCATAATTTATGTTAATTTTTAATATGGGCCCGCAGTCTCAAAATTTTTAATTCCTTCTCTAAAACAACCATTAATGGTTGCTGGTATACCAAAAAAAAAAAAATCATGTTTTAGTCCTCATAATTTGATGTTGTTGTCAATTCATTTTCTCGGAACCTCCAGCGCCCCAGGATGTCAAACATGTGGCGGACCGTTGATAATACTCCTATGTAAATTCCGCATGAACTTTTGTGTAGTACTTCCTCTTATACTTAATATAAAAATTACTCCTCCGGTCCTAATTATAAGACCCAATTGACTTATTTGAGGAGATTAAGGAAGTAAGTTAAGTTGGTTATTTATAATAAATAAGTGTTGTCATTCCCAAAATATCCTTGCTAATTAAGTATATTGGCTAAAACTATCATTATTTGAAGGATTATCTTGAAAAAAATGCATAAATATAAGAGACAAAATGGATTGGGGTCTTATAATTAGGACCAAATAAAAAGTCAAATGGGGTCTTATAATAAGGACCGGAGGAGTAGTTAACTAATTTAAATAAATTAAAAAAATTTGTTAAATTAATTATTTATAATAAATAAATATTTTCTTTTCTAAAATATCTTTAATCATGTTTATTAGTCACAAATGTCATTTGATGAAATTTTTAACACGTGCAACTGTTATAGGGACTACCTTGAAAAAAATAGATAAATATCAAAGACAAAATAAATTGGGATATTATATTTAAAATTAAATTAAAAGTTAAACTAACTCTTATATTAAGGATCGGAAGTAATATTTCGATTCTTTTCATAAGAACCTAATAACTAGATCACGTTATTTAAGAAAATAGTTAAAATTAATTAAAAGTGATAAATATTTAAGAAATAAACTTTTCTTTCCGTGTATGCCTCGGATAGGTAAGAAAGAGAAAATATAAAAGAGAATGTAATAAACTTTTTAATTAATACAATATATAAAATTAATTAAGAGCAAAACAGTAAAAATACATTAAATATTCAAACAATTATAAGTAAGATTTTATAAAAGGACCAATACTATTCAAATTTCAGGTTTTAATAAAAACAACGGAGGGAGTACCATTTTTTTAAGACACACTATTTAAAAAGTTACGGCTTTTAGAAAGGGGCAATTATATTAACAAGTATAAAATGATATAGTTTGGGCTTCGGTGTCAACGACTGATTACAATTAACAAAAGGATCTAATGCAGCCCAAAATGTTAACCAAAAGGTAAGCTCAACTGAAAGCAAACACCCCTTGCACCAAGGGTTTGGGCTGACCTTTGACCATCTTTGATGGCACGAACTAAAATTTTTTCACATGAATATATGATTACGTTAAATTCAAGTATTGTTGGGATTTAATTAAAATTATCTTTCTTAAAGACGTTTTTTTTTTTTTGCATGCACGAGAATTTGAACTCTAGTAATTAAGCAACCAAAACCATTTCACATGTCAGTGACTGTTTCCCTAGAGAAATTGAATGACTTACAGAGCACAATCCAAAACTAATCTCAAAAGATGAATAAGGAATCATTTATTATTTTTATTGTTTAATGCCAGTTTTAATCTTGTATTGCACCTATATCGTTTTAACTTAAACTTTATTTTTATCTCCAATGCAACTCGAACCCAGAGTTAAAACATGGATAGCCAATAGAATGCATTTAATTACTCATTAAAGATGAGAACAGTGTTTTCTCATAATTTTTATGCGACTTTTCTAAGAGTATTATTGTGGAAAAAATTGTCAGTTTACACATTTAAAGTGTTTTATTAAATTAACATATTTTTAAGAAATTAAATTAACATATTTTCACATCGAAAAGGTTTTTTTTAAAAAAAAAAAATTAAAAGCAACAGAAGAAGTACCTTTCAACTTATATTTATTTCCTGAACAAGTCATCCATACTTGATCGAATTTAAATCCGATGCATGGTTTGTTTTGATAACCAAATTAGTACTTGCCAAATTATTAAATGACATAAAGTACTTTTTTTTTTACCAGCTAAATGACATAAAGTACTATAATGCTGAAAACTACAATAAATTCATCACATTTCGATTTAATTGACTGTCGTTGCTGAAGCCATGTTTAGCAATCAAGTCGTGACACGATCAAAAAACAAAAAAATAAATAAATTTCTCGAATAAAAGAACGAACAAAAACATGTGATTCATTAATTTATCTGACCTGACTTCTTTTGGCCAAAAAAAAAAATCTGACCTACAACATAAAACAAAGGATCCAATTTTTCGATCAACGAGGCAGAAGAAGAATATATGCACGTGATCCACTGATGCATCAGATATTATTTTTTTTATTTGCTTACCATTAAAGTCTTCCTTTGAGTCAAAATTTACTGCTGAAGTTTTGATCCTGTGTGTACGTGTGTACTGAAAAATTAAAAAAGTATAATATTTTTCTGCCAGAAGTAGAATTGATAAAGCCTTCTTGAATCATTTTTTTTATACACATAAAGAAAACGTCAATTATTACAGGCTTCTCTAATAATTATGCATTTCATTATTTAAAAATATGCTTAAAATTAGAATTTACTCAGCAATTGCATTGGCAAAATTATCGGCAAAAAACTTTTAAAATTAATTTATCTCTGTTTTTTTTTAACAACTGTTTAAACAACGAATGCAGAATATAGTATTATTTTTAAGAAACAAGAAATCTATAAAAAAACATTAGGTATATAATTTTGAGATGAACAATTAAAAAGTGTTCAATGGCTTTTTATTTGTAGTTGTTTTTTTTATGACATTTTAAAATAAAATTGAATTATTTTAATCCAATTTGTTTTTTGTTAAGCGCAGCTTTTCCTTAAAAAAGCTTAAATCGACCGCAAATCCAAATCTGAGCCCGAGAGGACAGTGCGATGACGTGTTCAAAGTCCTTCTCAGGCAATTTCAACTCCTCGCCCTCACTTTAACAGCGATCACTCGCTTACTTTTTATGCTAAGTCATCCTTCCTTCAGTTCTTCCAACCTCGTCGCCTTCATCTGAAGCAGCAAAAGAACCTTTCTTCTCTTCCAGTCATGGGCATCCAGGTGCGATGTTCTGCAACTGCCCTTCATTTCTTTTTCGGTTTTGGTGAGTTTCATTGAAAACTTTCAGTCCGTTCAGTTTCTAATCCAAAGCGCGTTTTTGGTCTATTAACATGCTTGTTTCAAGTCCTTGGCATCACCTCTATTATTGGGTCATCTTTTCATGTTTCATTTTGCTTAATGTTCTCTTATTTCTTTCTTGGTTTAACAGTGGATACTTCCTGTTCCTACTCAAAACACGGGTCTTTTATTCTGGGGATATTACATTTGATGCTTAGCATCTGCATTTTCAGCGGAAACTAATTAGAGCAAGTACATTTGGTCACTTATTTTTTTAATTTCCTGTTGATGGCTGTGAGTTTAGTTATTTTTTATGAACAAAGGGATCCTATTTTTGTGAATGCCTCTGCTAAGAAACTAAAAAGGGAAAATGCAATTGAATCTTAGTGTTCTCAAACGATATTTCATCCTTCCAAATGATTGCATTCGTACTGCATACTGATTTGACATTAGGACTGATGTGATATCTGTATTTGAAATCAAACTTGTTTATCTCTGGCTTGATTATTACTTGTTGCTGGTTCAGTAGGTGACTAAATGAGATTAGCTGCGAAGGATCAAACGAAAGCCATGCAGACTTATTACTGTTGGTTTGATTCTGAGACTGAGATGCAGTTAACGTCCGTTTGTATATCCAGTTCCCACTGCAATCGAAAAGCTGCTTACAAAGTGTTAATAGCCTGTTGAATTTGGGGCTTTTGTCTAACTACCTGAGTTGGTCCCTTTACAACATGCCATACTATATACAGAGACTTTACAGGCTGTGCAAGGCATCCTTTTCTCCAGATGGGCCGGTATCTGAAGAAGCCCTTGAAAATGTTCGTGAGAAGTTAGGTATATTTCTTATTTTCTTTATTGGGTTTTCATTAAAGGCAGATGTTTGTTGTTAACTCCATAGCTTTCCCTGCCCTGAATTTCATGCAAATTTGATATTCCTATGACTAATTTGTTGTGATTACTCATCCCTAGTGAGCTCACCAACTAATCATCGATTACTAAGAATCTGTCTGATTCATTTCTTAATTTTTTTTAACGTTTACTTTGTGAGATGTGATTGCCAACGACTTGTGTAAATGGTGTTATAATAATACAAGATTCTAAATTGGTCTGCATCAAAGTTTTCCCATGTACCATACACAAAGAACATCAGGGCTTCCTCTTTTGCTATTCTTGTTCCTCAAGGCAAAGTTTCGCTTTTGCCTGCTAGAGTTATCATGAGTTATTATTGGGATTGTGTGTCCCTAATCTTTCACATCTTTTCTTTTATGAGGGAATTTATTGCGAAGGAAGGGTAGGTAGGGAGCCTTGATATGAACCTAGTATTAGTCCAGTACGAGTTACTTAAAAGACAACTAAACTCTGTTTTGACAGCTGCAATCCCTATGAGCTATAAGTGGGGAATATCATTTATTAAGGTGATTGTTGAATAGCAATACTCTTGGTACTTTTCTCCTTTTTCCCCTATTTGATATCATGTATTTGGGAGATCTTGTTTCTGCTGAGGATGTGGAAGCTAACCCCAAGAAGATAACAATAGTTGCACGTCCTACTCCATATTCTATTAAAGCTCTGAGGGTTTTTGGGACGTAAGGGCTATCATAAAATGAAGATTTGTGAAGGATTGTGGGAGATTAAGTAAGGCCCCAATGTATGTGGTGAAGAAGAATGAGAGTCTGTGCTATTTTTGGCTCACCCAAATTTCAAAGAAAATTTGCAGTGGAAAGAAGTCTATCTGATGGGAGTTTAGGGGTGGTTTTCTCTCAGCAGGGGCATCCTATAACTTTTGCAAACTAATTTCTATACCTGAGTATGAGAAATTCATCTGCATATGAGAAGGAACTAATCGCCATTGTCTTTACAGCCAACAGTGGAGATTATACCTTCAAGGGCAGAAATTCATCACCGAAACTGACTATTGACCCCTTAAAAACTTGCTTAAATCATGGGATCTTTGCTTTGAAATTGTATACAGTGAAGGAAATGAAGATGGATCTGCAGATGCTCTTCTAGAAGTGAGCACCCACAATAAGAGCTTGCACATGCAGCCATTATGGCAAGTGCTGCAAACCTAGCTAATTGAAGTTCAACTATCATGGGAAGAAGATAACAGAGTGCTATCTCTCATAGCCCAGTTGCTGAATGGTCCTCTCTATCGTCCTCAGTATCCATGGGGTAAATATTTGCTTAAAAGGAAAGGAAAATTAATGGTGGGTGCAAATCAGAATTTGAGGAAGCAATTATTACAAGGAGATGCAGCTGGTGAACATTCAGGCATGTAAAAGAGTCTCTGCCATTCATGGAGTCTCAGGGATGTCAGGATTGGAGTCTTGCTGGCGATGGTGAGCTTTGATACCTTGTTACTATTCCAGATGAGAAGTGAATATGAAATCATGCAATGTTATTCAAGATCTCCTGAGACATGCAAGCTGATATATAAAGTTCGGTGAGTTAACTTACTCACTGAACTATATGCAAACAAGTCCAAGGACTTGGGCCTTGGCCCATAGCTACTGCAATACATACACTGTTAGAAAATAACTAACTCGGTTGTGATAGCTGCAATCCCTCTAGGCTATAAATAGGGAATATCATGTACTTAGGTGCAGTTGTGTTGAATAACAATATTCTTGATACTTTTCTCTCTTTTCCATTGTCTTTTACCATTTTCCTTGTTCATGAAATGAGTCTTCACTGGTCAGTGAAGGACAAAACTAGCAATTTCCCTTTTTTTTCTTTTTGCGTGTGTATTGTGAATTCTTAGACCTGATTTTAAGGTGTAACACGTTTTTCCCCCACTATTAGTTGCTTAATTTCTTATCATGGTAGCAGAGCGGTGGGGTCTGGGTTAGCCTGAGTGATGACAGCTTTTGACATAACCTAATTTATGCTGTTAATGTCATCTAAGATGCACAAACGCATTGATATCATCTTAACTCTGCTTATACATATTTGTTCCCTCATAATGTTCTGATGTGCTGCATAAGCCCATTTTGCTCTTGCTATGTAATGATTTAATTACAATTCATTTTTATTAACTTTTGACATATTGCTTCAGAAAAAATCAAGCCAGCGGATGTTGGTCTTGAACAGGAGGCCCAAGTCGTTCGTAATTGGTCTGCTCCAGTGCTTGAGCGTAATGGTAGCCATCAAACATTGCCACCGATCAAATACTTGCATTTGCATGAATGCGACAGCTTCTCTGTAAGCACTGAATCTTAGAACTCCTCATCATGTTTAGTACTTAAATAGGACTTGCAGTTAGCGATTTTTATGAAGGTATTTCTTCGATGAGGTGGTCTCCCAAGAGACTGAGTTCTCATTGGTTGAGTAGACTATAAAAGGTGTAACGTGAAAACAGTAGTTACCAAATCGCTTTGTTATTAATATTATTTTGTCTTGTTCAAATCGCACACAAATGTTCAACCTCTTGAGAGGTCCAACTCTATGTAGAATTACCCTTATATTAAAGTTGTTTCTCATTCTAATTTTGTTTTCTGCAGATAGGAATATTTTGCATGCCCCCCTCCTCTATCATTCCTCTCCATAATCATCCTGGAATGACAGTGTTGAGCAAGCTCTTGTATGGATCATTATATGTTAAATCGTATGACTGGATTGATTTGCCTGGCTCTGGTGATCCATCTGAAGGTATGTGTTTTATGACTTTGCATGCTCTTGTGTTGCTCTGTCCAACTTTGTAGTCCTCTGTTATTGCCCTTGGAATTATCTAACCGTAAATGTTAAGTGTTGCCTTGTCTTTGTACTTTTGAAGGATATTGTTTTATGAATAGCCCTTTTAAAATCTGACGTGGAAGAAAATGATAAGGCTTACTTGGTCCAGAAGTATGCTGAAGATCTGTGACCTTCCTTCTGTAATGTGATCCCTCTCAAAAGCATATGCAGTAAGATGAAATTGTATTCTACTACAAATTGAAATTGACTGGTGGTATTTTTGGGAAAAGGGTAGTGAATGGATTATATTGAGCGCCTCATCCAATTTTTGTTTTCTCTGTCCAAAAAGCTCACAGGAAAATGTTAGTCGGAATAGTTAGTTTCTCTCTATTCTAGGGTGATACTCATTACGAAAAGGTAATTTGACGCAGTCTTGTGGTGTCAACTTTAAGCCCTTGATCACTAAATTTTGCCAGATAGTGTAAACATGAAAGATGGGTCGATGTTTCTATATCATTTAAACCTTCTTGGCCAAGTTTTATGAATGGGCCAAATATTCTGTCTAGGCTAGTAGTAGGGCGAAATTCAAGTTGATGGACAAGCCCTTTTTTCTGTTATGGGATGAGATGCTTTCGTCAAGCCCCCGCGCTCAAACCAAATCTGTAAGCAGTAACTTCGTTATGGTCATTTCTTTGGTCCATGTGACAACGACGAAGGCTCAATGGTGTAGGCACAAGAGGGATTTTTTTTTTCCTGGTCTAAATTTCACTTTGACTTCTGTTGATATAGAGATCTACTTTATTGCAATTTGCAAGGTTCTGGGTTTCATAGTTTTTGCTGCATTATGGCATGATCCATAAAGTCTGACAAGAAAAGGTTAACATGTCCTGTAGGAAAACCTCCGCAGATGCTAACTTTTTGGCTAGCAAGGCTATGTATTCCTTACCTGTTCAATGCTATTTGTAAAATGTTTTCTTCTATTAATGATTGTTTAAAAAACCATAGTTTCTCCTGTTTGAAATTGTCACATCCTATCCTTCCTCTTTTGAGAAATTACTACAAAACCAAAGTTTTTGTTTGGCAGCTAAACCTGCAAAGCTTGTCAAAGATACGGAGATGACAGCACCGACCCCAACAACAATTCTTTATCCTACTAGTGGAGGAAACATTCATTGCTTCAGAGCCATAACTCCTTGCGCAATCTTTGATATATTGACTCCTCCATATTCTTCAGAACATGGAAGACATTGCACCTATTTCCGGAGATCCCCCAGGAGAGATCTTCCAGGTAATGTACTTAATTCATAGTAATAGTTGCTGCTAATCTTGAGGACTTTGCAGTCTCCTACATAACAGTGACAATGTTCATTGAATTGCAGGCAGCGTTGAATTGGATGGAATGACAGTTTCTGAAGTGACTTGGTTGGAAGAGTTTCAACCTCCGGATGACTTTGTGATCCGGAGAGGGCTGTACAGGGGTCCTGTTATTAGAACGTGAAAGATTACTTCGTTTTTAGCGCATCCTACGCTCAAGAATTTGACTTATTATTGTGGGGGGACATTGAAAGGAATTATGAGGGTGAGTTATCAAAAGCCATTGAAATACTTTTATTCTTTGTTTATATCAGGCATTTGGTTTGTACATAACCATGCCCATATAGAATAGTCGCCAAGTTACCTTGGCACTTATGTCTCACACTTGATAAATATTTTTATTTAACTACAGCTTAACATTACTCCCTTTGGTCCTTTATTCAAAAAACTCTTGCGAACTATTTTCATGAGATTAAAAAATTTACTAAAATTGATAAATGTTAACAAAATTACTATAACTTTCCAAAATTATTTTATGATTGGTGTATTGGGAGAAAAGGTAATAAAGCTACTACACTAATCTTAAATATGAAAGTTAGTTTATGATGTAATTTATAATGCAAACTAATTTTTATATTTAGAACCAGACGTAGTATTATTTTAGTTAAGAGTCAAGCTATCCAAACAGATGATAAATTTTTTATTAAATTTTACAAAGGATTTTTTATGAAGGACTAATAGGTAGGGTTTTAAAAGTGGATTTTATCGGAAAGAGTTTTTTTTTATTTAGTGTATATATATAAAATAATATTCATGTAAATTAATTAATAAAAGTAGCCTAGACAAAGTAAACTAGCCTAGAGTTTAAACTTTAGAGTCATGAAAAAGTGGCTCAAAGTTTAATTAGGGTCTCTTCAGGAAGTATTTGAAAACATTTATAAGCATGTTTTATTTCAACCGACACAATTTTTTTTTACATATTTATTTTGTATTTTATAAATTATACTTAAAAAATTATTTATAAACTATTTCAAATCAACCTTTAAAAATCTCAGCCCACGTAAGAGCTTTCTATGTGGGAGTTTTCACATGGTCTTTGAAAATCAGGGAGAATTTTTCATAAACTCGCAAAAATTGTGAGAAAATATCACCAAACCCGCATAGGAACCCTGATTACTACACTTGGTACTAGCCAAAAGGCCAAGAAGGGCATAGGAATGGGAGTTTTTCTCATGGCCGTTGGAAATCTGTGAGGAATTCTCACGGCCACACAAAAACCTCAAGAAAACCTCAAACTCGCAACTCGCAAGAAGGGAGCTCTTAACTTTCCAAGTGGAGACTTTTCTCGTTGCCTTTTGAAAATTCATGTTAATTTCTCATTAGCTCCCAAAAATCGTGAGAATTTTGTCACAGTCTTACAAAACCCATGAGAAAATCTTACCCCCACAAAGAAGCCCTCACTTTTCAACTACAGATCAGACTTTTCTCACAGCGACCTCTAAAAATTCTCATGACCTCGGAATTACACCCAGAAAACAGAAGGCAACAAAGTAAACATGTTTATTATTGTCTTCTGATCTAATGAATGTTCCGAGTATATGTAGTGAGTTGGAATGGACAGCAAAGGTTGCCCTCCATTGGCTACAATGAGTGAAGTAAGAGATGACAAGCTAAGATCAGATTGCCAATAACTATTGAGTATTGAGGGAATTTCTTGAGATTCTGACCAGAAATAAACAAAAGGCGGGCTGAGCAGAAGACAACAGAGAGAGGAGCAAGTAGCCAAAATGGCTGGCAAAATTTAAGATAGGACTCTCCACTAAACACGGGCATGTGATCATTTCCGATCTCTAGCTAAGCTTCAACCATGCGGGATGCCATTATTCTGTGTGTGTGTGTGTGTGTGTGTGTTGTGCAGTACAAAGCCTACTGTTTTGTGATTTTGGCGAAAGAGTCGCCGCGAAGGTAGGCATTACATCGTGCGACTTTGCTCAGAACTGGAACAAGAAACAGAAAAGATCCCTATTTGCACCTTGCACAGCCCAAAGATTCTGTCCATTATTATATTTACTGCAGTTTAGACACTGAATTTATGATATTCTTACTTCTGTTTTACAGATAAAATAATAATAATAATAATAATGCTTTTCTTAAATATATTTTTTATGTTGTTCATTCTTTTTCATAAGATCTATTTGTTATCGAATAATTTTATGCTTTTTAAATACATATTATATTTTATATCTTTCAATATGTGTGTATTTAATACTACCTTCGATCCTTAATATAAGACCTCGTTTAACTTTTATTTTGTTCCTAAATATAAAATCCCAATCCACTTTGTCGCTCATATTTATCTATTTTTCTCAATATAGTCCTTCTAATAATGATAATTTTAGCTACTACACTTGATTAGTAAGGATATCTTAGGAAAGACAACATATATTTATTACAAATAACTAACTTAACTTATTTTCTTAATCTCTTTAAATTAGTCAACTAACTCTTATAATTAGGACCGGGAGTAATACTTTTTATATTATAGTATTAGTAATAGATGTAAGTGAATATGACGGTTAAAATAAACATCTGCCCCCAATTATACTTTGTACTCGGCTTTTGATGCCTGAAAGTTGACCCCCAAAAAAAAACAGATGCATGTAAATGGAATGCGAAAGAAGAAAAGTAGCTTGAAAGCTTAGTCACATTATCAAATATGGGAATTCTTCTGGCCAGCTAGCTAGTATCTATAAATATATAAAAATCTTAGATATTAACTTAAGTTTTAGCTTCGGCTTATCTTTGAAAGAGTCCATATATAAATATATATATATATATATATATATATATATATTGATGAGAGGAATAATTTGACCATATATTCTTTGGTCTAATTAAAAGGCGCACATTACATGTAGGGTTAGCTACAAAGTTGAATAGACTAGTTCATTACTGTATATTATGACTTGGTTTAAGGGTTTAAGAACCCCATTCACAACATTCACAATCCATCATTATCTTAATTTCAAGTAATCAACATTCCATCAATAATTTGAAACAACCCTCACAATCAAGCGCATAATATTTTTTTTTGAGCTATGATTTTTCTATATCATAATTCTTCTATAAGCATAATAACCGACCAATCCTTTTTCGTCTTAAAATTTCTCTTTCCGTATTAATGAATAATGAGAAAAATAGAATAAAGCCTAAATTAGAAATTCATCTCATTATGACACATTAATCTAGTTTCTGCCCCCGTGAAGACTACATGTATATTGGCCCTACGAAACTGTACGTACGTGAATAATGGACAAATTTAATATAATAAGAAGTTTTGGAGTGCGGACCTTGCCAACCAGAAAAATACAAAATATACACGTAAATATAAATAATAAATTAGAAAGGTGTAATTCTGAGCAAGATTCTTTGCTTCTCTGCAAGTGTTACTAAAAAAATAAAACATGTCAACTCCCATGCACAAAAGATGACAAACATGAAATTAAGTTCAGAACGTAGAGGTAGCAGAGAATTCTCTCTGATATAATTTTTCTTATTTTAAAATCACGCGACAACCGATTAATTTCTTCTCTCAGTGGCTCTGTCCTGCATATATAATATATATATAGTATTATTATTATTATAGACTTTCCAATCCTATGGGTTTGTTTAATCCTTCGAATATTTGTCTTCATTGAGTTTCTCTCTCCACTGAGTCTTCCAACAACACAGAAAAATGGGTGTGTTCACACAAACCAATAGTCAAATTTGAGCGTCGTTTTGCTGAAAACCTAATCCTTGAAATGATTCCTCTCTCTGATCATTGGGACCTACACAGACACAGACACAGCCAGGGTTTGAATATAATAATAAATGTATGATCTCCATGGTTTGATGACAAATGGTTCAAATTCACTCAAAGATGCCCAGGGAAAGTAAATCCTTGGACAATAGGGAAGACGATCCACAAATGAGACAATATGAGGGAATATCATATACGAGATCAGTCTCTGTCTCATCATTTACCATTTTTACTTCTTCTTTTGGTTTCCATCGTCTTTTCACCCCTTTTAACCTTATTCTCATCATCTCCCAATACCATTATTTTTTTCCCCTCAAGTGTTTGAGAATATAATGTCAGAGTTTGAATCACATGCACGCATATACAATCTAGTTCTGCGTTCAAATTTTCTTTAGCTTTCTTGTTTTTCAACAAGTGTAGGGTTGATGCCTTCCCGAGATAAAGTATCCCCCCCCTCTCTCTCTCTCTCTTCAATTTTTTTCTGTGAAATTATCGATCTCTTGCATGAGGAAGATCAAGACGGATTCAGTTGGATATACTCCCTTCGTGCATTATATTAACAATTCATTTAATATAATTAGAGTACACACAAAGGATTATTACTTCCTGCATATATATATATATATATATATATAAGTTTAGGGCAGCAGTTTATAAAGAAGACAATTAACATTTTTATGTACGAGCAGTGTTTAATTTTATATGTACAAGGAAAAGATGGGGTAGTAAGGTCATTATTCTGAGATTTACTTTCTTTTTGCTTCTTTTACTAACTATCTTTCTCTTTGGAAAGTATGCCAATTAACTTCAATCAGCTTCTGTTAATGATATATAAATCATAATAAGGACAAAATTTGAAAGCGGAATTCAGGTCAAGAAAAACGCATGGTTCATTGGGAACCTTGGACACACAAAATATTGTCAGTTTTGTTGGTAAGAGAACACAAAGGACAAATGTTTTCTAGATCCTTTATTAACCCCTATCATTACCAATGTTACCCTATAATGGTTTTCAAGACATACAGACATTAATTTTTTCGAGGTTATATACATACATGCATGCATGGGGTTGTTAAACTCTTGGGGATTTGAAACTTATTATATTTGAGAACGCGAATTTACGGACTCGCACATGTATAGAACATTTTCTCTTCTCATTGTAAAAGAGAGAGATAATAAATGAAAAGGTTACCAGAAGAAGACAAATATTATGTAAAAGCTAGAATTTCTTTGTTTCCTGTGAAGGGAAAAAATCTGCATCAGATAACCGTATATTGCATGTTTCATGGGTGACATCTGTAAACTGATGAATTGACTGGGAGGGTAAAGGACAAATAAGTGAAGTGAAATTTTAATTTTTGAAATTTATTTCGTTTAAATTAATCTAACGTAGTGCTAGCTAGCAAGAATTGAATATAGTAGATCATAGGATTATCGTATATATGGCTGCAAAAACAGTATCAACTATGACTACAACTATAGTTAGAGTTAGTTTAATATAAGATTTAATTAACAAGGAAAACAAATGAGAGGGTATATCAGAAACAGAGGTAAACTATAATCGATTATTATCAAGGAGAGGTAGCCAGGCAAAAGAAGCAACTCAGAAAGAGAGTGTGAAGAAGGGAGATACATGGACAATCTGTCAAAGAACCATTGGAAAGAGAGAGAAATGCTAAACAAGCTAAGTCACATGATTTTCAAGAGTCCAAAATAGAGGTCATATGCATTACATCAAAAATTAAGATTACCACTCTAATTAATAGCTACCTTGTTATCTCAAGTTAATGATTTGTACGAAGAAAATTTTGATAACTTAAACAAAAAGAAGGAATATTGTTTGTCCGACCGTCGTCTTCCTACATGCAATATTTTATAATATTTTGTATTTGTTATTAGACTGCGAGAATATTTGATGAGCGATGACCAATTAATAGGGGTATTAATTTGAAGCTCAATTTTGCATAACATTCCAACCAAAAGTCCACTTGTTAATATGTATGATGCGCCCATCTAGAACTTCTCTATATACAGAAAGGAGCCTTAACACAGTACTAAATCTACCTCTCTCTGATCTCTCCCGCTCCCTCCCTCCTTCTCCCTTCCTCTCTGTATAACTCTTTCTGTGCATGTAGGGCTTCTTCCATTAATGGTGACTGGCTTCATGTGAATCCACGAAGAAGAAGACAGAAGGATTCAACCACAGGCGCCTCTTTCTGCAGCTTGGTATATATATTTGGTTCATCCTTCTTCTTCCCGTAGTAATCAGCCTCAAACCTGGTTAATCAGAATATTTTGCTTGGTTTAGACTGTAGATCTTTGTTTGAAGAAACTTAATGCTTTCTGCAGAATCATCTTTAGTCTGATCACTTTAGCAGTGTTAGTAAGCCGTCAAGCTTCGTTCGTCAACAACTAATTAATGGTCTGTTCGCATCTCTCTTCCACTTGAATTCACCATCAACGCACTTCTGTTTGGAATAAACCTTTTTCTCTTTATTTGTCCTCCCAGGTTAAGATTTCCAAATTAATTCTGATATGATGTTTTCGCCTTAATCCATCTTCCATCCTGGTATCTAATTCTCAACAGCCCCACTACTTCATAGCTCTTAAAAATTTCTATGTTCTCATGTACTTGTACTATGGATCGGAATCCCCATAGGTGATGCATCCTCCTTCTAGTTCAATTAAATTAGACGAGTATGAATTTCCCGAGACCTAGGATTTGGTAAAACGTACTTAATTGGTATCAATGTGTTGGAAGAAAGTTTATTAAAATATCAAGGACCGTTTACACGAAAAACAAAAAAAAAAATTCACTGTGTTTTCCAAATCATTACAGCATTAATGCATCGATTTTTGCACATACACGTAAGACAAATTCTTAGCAGTATTCCCAGAATATAGTTGTCATCTTCTCGCCAAAAGGGAGAAAAATAGCTGCCATATTATTGGTAACAAACTCATACTTTTCTGACCTTCATTGAACCATCTGTAACAGGAAAAGAGGAGTCATTAGAAGAACAGTTTCTAGTCACTGAAAATGGCGGAGAATATATACTACATATCTGACGAGGACAAGAGCGAAGGTACTGAATTGGAAGCCAGGCCTAAGAAACGTTCATTCTTGGACTTGAACGAAGAAGCTGCGGGTGACGATGGAGAGACAAGTATTGATGGTAGATCTTCTCCAGAAGGGAATTTGAGCAGTAATAACTCAAGCACAGATCAAGTGAGAGAACGAACAACGAGTGTGAGGCAATATGTGAGGTCCAAAATGCCAAGGCTTCGTTGGACTCCTGATCTCCATCTCGCTTTTGTGCTCGCTGTTGAGAGGCTTGGTGGACAAGAAAGTAAGCCTACTATTCATATTCACACTTTAAATTAGTTGTTCAATTTTGAAGTTATAGAAAAGGTTTATATCAAACCAGTTGATTTTCCTTTTTTGTGTGTGTTCTAATCAATCATTCTCCTTGGTTTTTAATTAGGAGCAACTCCCAAGTTGGTTCTTCAGCTGATGAATGTGAAAGGACTTAGCATTGCACATGTAAAAAGTCATTTGCAGGTACATTAACTAGATTTTGCTGCATTGGTGTGTGAATACATATATATAATGAAACTTAACGAGCTACACGATTCGTAAGTTATAAACCTAAAATTTCATACAATTAATACACGAGAAAACATATATCTAGTTTTATTTCTAGAACACGTGTTGAATAGAACGAAAGGCGTTCCTCTTTCAATTATGTAATTTTTTTTTTCAGATTTTTCTTCTCATTAATGATGAGATTTTGTTACTAAATTTCAGATGTATCGAAGTAAAAAGCTCGATGAGTCTGGCCAAGGTATAATTTCCGAGTATTTTACACAAACACAAAGTGCATCTAAATAAATTTATTTCAAGCTTCAAGGCTAACATGGTTATTTCATGAATTTTATATTATCTCAGTCTTATCCCAAAATAGGGGAACGCAAGGAAGAGCACACATAATGGAGATGTACGAAAGATATAATAAAGCCCAAGGCCACTTTGGGATAGATAACAGAAACTATCAACCGACATCCGTGTTGATGAAACATCCGTATGACTTCAAAGCCCCAGAGTGTTCAAGGTTTGAGAAATTTAATTAAAACTCATTGGGAGGAGGAACTTATCTAATTATATTGGATTCTGTGTGATAAAATCTTAAAAGTTATAATATACATTTTTCTCCATTACTGGAGATGTACGTTTGATGGAGAGCACGGCTTGGTTCAGATTAGTTACATTTACTGTAAAACTCATGGCAGGTTTCAGCCATGTGGGATCGTGAATAACCAGTGGACAAGATCAAGTTCAGAGTGGAGCAATATTAACACGACAGGGAAATCACACCTATTTGATGTAAGAGATGCAATAACAAGAAGTAGAGAATTTATCGAAGAAAAGAGATGGCCTCATCGTGAAATACTTGGAGTCGGACCACAATTTAGTGACAGACCAAGGATTTCAAGGGCCGATAAGTATAATAATACAATGGAACCTAATAATGCTCCTCTATGGAGAACTAAACCTAGTTCTGTCCATGATCAATACCAACGTAGTTCTGGTGCTCCAGTCTTTTTGTCAACTCATGCGCAATTTGATGCTAAGGTACGTAGTTATACTGATCGATCTCCTTGATGTAATTTTCCCAGCCTGATATAACGCATGCAGATTGAATTTCTTTGAGGGCTGGTTGGCAAAATTGAAAGTGAGGCGGAGGAATCTGACAGTGAAGTGATATGGGAAGATAACAAAATTAAAATCAAAGGAGATATAGTTTTCCCTGCCTCAATTAGAACAATGGCACATATAATAGTACATTTCCTTTTAACAAAATATTTACTTACAATTAATTTCATTTTTTTTTTAACTACATGACCATATACTTATATACATGGATCTAACAGATATGTGTGTACTCTTAGTCCAAGCTGTATTTGAATTCACCCTTACCCCTGTACTCTGTATGTTTGTGTGTATGCTGCCCAACCCTAGGCAGTGTACGGATGAAATAGCATGCCTTATTATAATATTATACTCCTATGATGATCTTAATATACAACTCATTTTATATTGTAATTTATATTATAAAATAAGTTTTATAGTTAGGACCGGATGAGCACATTTCTTTTAAAAAAATTTTCTTCATCAGCTTCAGTGAGCCTACACACACACACACAGCTGGTCAAAAGCTATATGAATTGCATTTAGCTGCGTGAAGCTAAGTGTATATATACGTACAGGTTTCTGAATTGAGATAATTGAGACAATAATATTCATTTGCATGTGGAATAATGTAGGTTCATGATGTAAAAGATGGAATCATCCGATGTATAAATGAAGAGGAGCTATCGCGTGCAGCTAAGGTGAAAGCCCAAATATCAGAAAAGTTGAAGGAGAAGAAAGAGGCACCTACAACTACTACAGGTTTCCTAGATTTAAGTTTAAAACATGATTTTGGAAACGTTAGAGAAATGAGCGTCTCCGGTCCAGGAAACGATCAAGTTAATACGAAGCTTTCTCTTTCGTTGTTGTGACGACGACATGAAAAATAACACATAGTAGTAATGGACAGTGATGTGAAATCCCATATATACCCATGAATGTTGAGCTAGAGAGCTTGTGTTTAATTAATTGCAAAATTAATTTTGAATGGAGGGTTTGATATATTTGATGAGGCGTGTACTTAGGATCTGACCATGTCTAATGAAGCATAGGAGTGAGATCATTTGAGTACTTGCCTTAATTAATAGGAGCCCATAGTTGTGAGGACATTTTATTTCAACTTCAAATAAATTAAATCTGATCTTATAGTCATTATTTGTGGCTTTTGATGTTCTTATGCATTAAGGAAAACGAACACAATTTTTTTTATCTGTGGCACAAGTAATTATTACAATCATCATTGCATAAAGTGAAACTAATTCTTCTAAGAATTACCGAACAAGTTAGAATTTAATAATTATATATTGTTCTGTATACTTATAATAATTAATTACATCACGACCAACTTATAAGTTGTGTGCAACCAAATCCATCCTGTGGATTGTGGAACAAAAAGAATTCTGGCCATCCTCTGAAAGTGGGGGGTAAAAAAATCTTTTAGTTTACTCTTTAGCTGACAATCTCTAACAGGTACGTTTACCAAAATAATATTAATACTCAGGCTTTTGAACTGGTCATCCGAGCCTATCAAAATCATTAACTCCGATCCTCAAAACCAGTCTTGTGTAGAGGATTTAGTATTATTTACAAAATACATTATTTAAATTTATTAATATCTAACAATCCCAATATTCTTTGGGAGTCCTCGTTCAGTGACATCATAGCGATGAGTATCATAAGTCGTTATTGTAATAAAATTTAGACTATTAAAAATTCGATATGAATGGTTCAAATTAAAAATTTTTAATATGTAACCTTTTTAATGATGAATTTATTTTTAAAGAAGTCTTAATTATGAGATTATCTTTATTTTTAAATTTTATATCTATTAAAATAAAACACTAATTAAAGAATATAAAAAATTAAATTTAATATAATCCATTTAAAATTAATCTAGATGATCCAAATTAAGATGAGCACCCCATGCTGATCATAATAATAAGGATGAAATGTGCCCCCCAATCCAATGCTGATTCAGCAAGGTAACAACAACGTGAGGCACTCTCACACAACATGCAGCGATATATTACATAGTATGACACAGAAACATAAAATTCAGAAAATTAAACTAGCAGGGGTACCATCAATAGGTATAGGCGTATGGCAAATTAACAGCATTTCCTTTTAACTTGGAAAACGATGGCTCCACCGGCCCTCACCGCCACGCACATCCTTGATGCTCCCTCCACCACCGCCTGATCTGCCTCTTTCAACACCGTCACTAGCTACCACCGGCCTCCACCTCCACCTCCACCGTGTTATTTATCTAGGTAATTAATTAACAACATGAAAATTTACAGCGCATCAGATCGCATGAAAACCGAATAAAGGAAAGGAAAATATGCTAGGCAACAGCAAAGGCCTCGGCACGCGCAGCAAATATGTTAACAAACTCCTTTAACATCCACCTCCTCTGCCACAACCACCTCCGCCACCGCCACATCCAGCTCCTCCACCGCCAACATAACCACCCCCAACCCATGTGGAGGTTCTTCGAGACCCGGAGTTGTCACCGCCACAAGAAAATATGACCATTGAGATAAGTGAGAGGGACATAACAATAATCGCTAATAGCATTAAAGCTTCAGAACCTGCAGAACCATTCACAACGCTCATCGCATCTTCATTTCCACCACCCACCCGACCTCTCCCCATCTTTCATACACTTCGCTGCTTCTACAGAACCGTACTTTTATTTTTAACTTACTCCAACTTTACCTACGACATGCGAGACTCTCTGTACGTGCGTGTGTACATATGCTACTACTCTGATTTTTAATATAAGACTTAATTAATTAATTTGAGTATATTAATTATGTTAATTAAATTAGTTAATATAATACTCTTCCAGTCTATAGGACCCCTTTTGTAGTGTAAATTATATTACAAAAAGAGTCTTATATTTAGGACCGGAATAGTATATTTTTTCTAAATATCTTAAGTATCTTTCTCAATCTTTTTCCTCTTTTTCCTACTTGATTATTGTTAAGGGAATATCGATATAACTAATTTGAGAAAAATTTATAAACATATACGGTGAAGTAAGTCTTAGACATAGTACCAACATAAACTTCTCAATTGGTTCCTATAATGAGTATGTATATTATACAAGGGCTCTTAACGAAGTCAATTTGTTGTTGAATTTAACTTTAATTTAATTTAATTATCCAAAAGTGAATATTTCCCAACCAAAACAATGATAAGGCTAATGTTATGAGTGAATAATTTGCAAGAAATAAAAAAACTGAACGATCAATGCGCCAGAAATTCCAGCGAGACGAAAGGACTCGCGCGTTGGAATAAATCTGAAATTTTTTAGGATCAAGCTTAAAGTAGCATCAGACCTTTTTTTTTTCCAATTAAATTGGGTTTTTCAAGTTGGCCCGAATGATTTCGAAAAACATTGGGCCAAGCTCATTCAGCTTCGGCCGAGTCTGAATAATAAGGGATTTTGAAAGAAAAATTATTTTCAGTTTTTTTTAACAAACTAATAAAAATTACTTAATAAATTTAAGAAAAATCTCTGTCATGTAAATTAATTAAAATATTTTTTTAAAAAATTTTAAACAAGAAGCCCATTAAACTATCACTAATTCAATCAATATAACAACATTATTGCTCACACCTCAATTACGCAAGTTGCCAATTTAGCAAGGTAAGTGGTAAGCGAAGCATTCTCACACAGAAAGAAAATGGCAATTTATTACATATGACAGAAAAACATAATATTCAGAAAATTAAACTAATTAAGATGGATACCAACAAATATGGCAAATCAATAGCAATTCCCTTTAACTTCGAATTCGGTACCTCCACCGGCCGTCACCGCCACGCACACCCTTGATGCTCCCTCCACCAGCGCCTGATCTGCCTCTATCAACACCGCTACAACCCCCGGCATCCACCTCCACCGCTGTGTTATTTAACTGGTAACAACATGAAATATTACAACAGATATCGTACGAAGGAGAAGGAAAAGACGGACGCTGGGTACCAACAGCAAATTAAACGTCTCAGCACGCACGGCAAATTGACAATTTCCTTCAAGATCCTCCTCCACCACCACCGCCACATCCACCGCCACCTCCGCCACCGCCACATCCACCTCCTCCGCCACCGCCTCCTCCACATCCACCTCCGCCTCCACCGCCGCCGCCATATCCACCACCGTAATAACCACCTCCACTCCATCCGGATCTTCTTCGAGGCCCCGGGGAGCTATCGCCGCAACCAAATATGACCATTGAGACAAGCGAGATGGACAATACAAACATCATTAATAGCATTAAGGTTCCAGAAACAGAACCATTCATAATACTGCTCATAATTTCATGTCCATTTCCACCCCCAAATCCAACGAGCTCTCTCGCCATTTCTTTACTGCTTCCACAGAATCCCACTTTTTTTTTTTTTTAACTTTCTATAATATATCTGCAAATCGCAATGCGTGGGTCTGTGTGTTTCTCTACATATAATACACTAACACAGCCGCACGCACGCATGCCCCGGCGTGTCTGTGTGTGGAATTCAGGTTTGATGGCTCTTCACGCAATTTTTAAAAATTCTGAAGAAGTTGCATGAAGGATATATTTGTTTCGAAACAAAAGAAAATAGTCTAAGTCAAAAGACTTGTAAAAGTATAAATGTCTATTTGAACAGTTTAGGGATGGCGAACATTATCCGAACGCCACAAACACTTCTTATATACGTCTTTTGATTTTATTGGCTACCGATTGAACAAATTAAAAAAACAAAAGAAAAGTCTTGCATTGATTTTTTTAATCATCTCTGGAATTTTCACTCTTGACTTTAACTGTGCAATTTTTCAACTATTGTTTCGTGGTAAACCTGAGTTCTAAATTTGCTGTCGGAATTATTGACAAATCAAAGCCGTACAGAACGTGAGAATTAAAATTAGGAAGTTTCGCCAGATTTGTTTGTTTAGTGAGAAAATTAAATGAGCAAACAAAAGACGATCGATAAGCACATGATCAGATGGGCCAGGCGATTCGTTCATCTTAATCCTTGATAGATAAGCATCAGTTTTCACAATGGGCTCAGAATGCTTACGATATCAGAAAATATGCATGAATGAGAATTAACCAGTTACTAACACAAAGCAATACAACAAATCAAAAGGAAACATAATCATCTAAGACAGGAGATTAAGCGAGGTAAGTATTTATGTAAGAGCAAATTATTAACTAGGTTCAACCTCCACCACCACATTCTCCACCGCCTCCTCCACATCCCCCTCCGCCACCACATCCGCCACCGCCACCATGACGACCTACACCCCATCTTCTTCGAGGCTTGGGGGGGTAATCGGCACAAGAAAATATGATCATTGATATGACAGAGACGGACATAACAATCATCAGTAATAGCATTTAGGCAGCACATGAACCAGAGCCATTCATGATGCTGCTCATCCTTTGATCTTCATTTCCACCACCAAAGGCAAAGATATCTCTGGCCATCTCTTTCTCTTCACTGCTTTCACAGAGAGGCTGTGCGCTGAAAAATGTATGCGAGTGTGTGTGCGCGCGCGGATTCAGGTTTTAAAGATAAGACTAATGCTGAAAAGGACAATAGGGGATATTTTCTCAGCGAATGAAACGTGTTTTGCAAAGAGTGGCCAAGAGATTTCTAGCACTTCGCAAAAAAAAAAAAAAGATAGGTTTTCCAGTCAGAATTACTCATTTTGGAACTTCATGCAATGAAGTTATAGGTTTATTAATTGTGTTTTCATTCTATCTGAAGTTTTGTTCTTTTTTCCGTCAGTTTTATTCTATTTTGATTTTATCCTCTGTATCATTACTGATTCAATCTATTATACCTTTGACGGCCACCATTAACATTATTAGCACAGTCCTGCACGGATATACTTAAAAAAAAATGAAATTTATAGTCCGCAACCTCTTCAGAGACCAAAATGACCAAAACGTGCTTTAGGGGATTAATGTTTAGTCTCATTTGGGGCATAGGAATAGGATATAGTCCTATAATACGTACACACACACACAAAACTTGATTTTGATCAGTATAAACATATAACTTGACTTTGGCCGATCGAATAGGACTCTCGTTGATAATATCATGATATACGAAGTCGAACAGCGTCTGGGAAACATAAAAGGGCACTAAATCAATCAATAAAAATTAAAGATCAATCAATAGTCCTATAATCAATAATTGCAGAAAGCGAAACTAATTCTTCTAAGAATTATCAATTACTGAATAAGTTAGTATTTCAAATAATTATATATTTAATCAATTATAGATCGTTCCGTATATCCAGAATAATTAATTATATCACAACCAAGTGATAAGTTGTGTGCAAATAAATCCATTCTCTGGATTATGGAACAAAAGAAAAATCCGGCCATTCCAAAGTAATATTGATACTCAGGCTATTGAACTAGTCGTTCGAGTTAATGTTTCTAAATTATCAAAATCATTAACTCTCAAAACCAGTCTTATGTATCGTAATAAGACTTATTTACTTAATTTGATTATATTAGAAAAGTTAGTTAATTATAAAAAATATGATGTTTTATAATAAATATAACATATTTTTTTTAAAATATCATAATTATAGTCATTAATATCCTCCTTTCTCTCCTATTTGATTATGATTGAAGGAGTATCAATAGAGGTAATTTTTAAAAAAATATTATTTAAATTGTTATATTCACTCTTTGCTTACAGAAGATTACATTTCTGCTTTTTGCTTTTAATATATAACAGCACTCCCAATGCTCTCGGGGTCCTCATTCAATGCTGATTAATATATAACTTCGAAAAAGATACCTCCACCGGCCGTCACCGTCATGCACATCCTTGATGCTCCCTCCACCACCACCTGATCTGCCTCCATCAACACCGTCACTACCACCGGCCTCCAGCTCCATCTCCACCGTGTTATTCATCTCGGTAATTAATTAACAACGTGAAAAATTACAGCGCAGATCGCATGAAAACCGAAGAAAGGAAAGGAAAATACGCTAGGCAACAGCAAAGGTCTCGGCACGCACAGCAAATATATTAACAATCTCCTTTAACATCCTCCTCCTCCGCCACCGCCGCCACATCCACCTCCGCCACCTCCAACATAACCACCCCCAATCCATGTCGAGGTTCTTCGAGACCCGGAGTTGTCATCGCCACAAGAAAATAGGACCATTGAGATAAGTGAGACGATGGACATATAAAACAAGCATCGCTAATAGCATTAAAGCTTCAGAACCGGCTGAACCGTTCACAATTAACGCTCATTGCATCTTCATTTCCACCACCTACCACACCTCTGCCAATCTTTCATTCCCTCCGCGGCTTCTACAGAACCGTACTCCCACTTTATCTACGATACGCGACTGTGTGTACGTGCATGCACACACACGCGCATATATATATATGTATGTATGTATGTATGTATGTATGTATGTAGAAAGAGACGCGTGTGCACTGTGTGGTATGTGATTAGGTTTGATGATTCTTCAGGCAATGTCGTTTTAAATTTTTAGAACAGGTTGCAGGTCAGTCCAAGAAAAGCAAGAAGAAGAAGATAGAAGAAAGAGAAGTTGCAGAAGGATACTTATTTTGTGACGAGAGAGTATTCAAACTGATCTTGCGAGTTGTGATTGGCCAGTAGCTAAAGGGTCTTGCGATTTGCATATTTATTTGGAATTTTCTCTTCTGATCTTTAAGTTGCATGACTTCTCAACGAAAATCCAAGGGCAGCTCTCCTTTCGTGGTAATAAAATTGCCTCTAAAAGCTTTTTTGTTTTCTTATTCTCATATTAAATTGGGCCAAGCTCAAGCAGATCCGCTAATCTAAATACTAAAGCCCACATATACATATATACATATATATATATATGCATACATATTACATAGTAAAATTAGACTTATATTTTGAATTACAGTTGGCTAACATAAAAATCGACTTTATTTGCCTTTATTAGCAATGTCCTTTAACACCCTCCTCCTCCTTTAATATTTAACTTATAATTGTTTTATGCGTGAGAGCAATATATTACAAATAAAATATAAATTAAATATGGCAATAAAGCACTCTCACACATAACGCATACATATATAGCAATATACTCCTCCGGTCCTAATTATAAGACCCAATTGACTTATTTGAGGAGATTAAAGAAGTAAGTTAAGTTGGTTATTTATAATAAATAAGTGTTGTCATTCCTAAAATATTCTTGCTAATTAAGTATATTGGCTAAAACTATCATTATTAAAAGGATTATCTTGGAAAAAAATGCATAAATATAAGAGACAAAATGGATTGAGTCTTATAATTAGGACCAAATAAAAAGTCAAATTGGGTCTTATAATAAGGACCGGAGGAGTATTACATACCCAACCCACGTAACAAACAGCAATATATTTCATAACATGAACAAGGTAAGAGATCGAAGCACTCTCATACTGCCCGTCAGCCGCCATGCACATCCTTGATGCTCCCTCCACAACCGCCTGATCTGCCTCTGTCAACACCGCCACAACCTCCGGTCTCCACCTCCGCTATGTTATTTTTTTAACTAGGTAACAACATGTCATTTATTTAACTAGGTAACAACATGAAATATTACAGCAGGTATCGTAATGAAAACCGAATAAAGGAAAAGGAAAATACGCACAGCGGATTAACAATTTCCCTCAACATCCTCCTCCTCCGCCACCACATCCACCACCACCTCCGCCGCCGCCACATCCTCCGCCGCCTCCGCCACATCCGCCTCCGCCGCCGCCACATCCGCTGCCGCCGCCGCCGCCACCATAACCGCCTCCAACCCATCCTGATCTTCTTCGAGGCCGAGGGGAGCTATCGCCACAAGCAAATATGACCATTGAGACAAGTGAGATGGACAGTACAACCATCATTAATAGCATTAAGGTTCCAGAAACAGAACCATTCGTAATGCTGCTCATAATTTCGTGTCCATTTCCACCAACAAATCCAACGAGCTCTCTCGCCATTTCTTCACTGCTTCCACAGAATCCCACTTGTATTTTTAACTTGCCATAATACATCTGCAATTCGCAATGCCTGCCTCTGTGTCTTTCTTTATATATATAATACACTGACACAGCCACACGCATGCATGCCACGGGGTGTCTCTGTGTGGAATTTGGGTTTGATGACTCTTCACGCAATTTTTAAGAGTTTTGAAGAAGCTGCATGAAGGATATATTTGTTTCTCAACAAAAGAAAATAATCAAAGTCAAAGACTTTTAAAAGCATAAATGTCTGCTTCAACAGTTTAATTAGGGGTGGCGAAAATTACCCGAAGGCCACAAGCACATCTTACGTCTTCGAATTTTATTGGCTGCCGATTAAATTGAAAAAAAAAATAAAGAAAAGTCTTGCATTGATTTTTTGTGTTGTCTATTCACTCTTGACCTTAACCGGGCAAACTTCTCAATGTTTCGTGGTAAACCTGATTTTTAAATTTACTGTCGGGACTATTGACAAATCAAACCCGTACAGAGGGTGGAAAGTTAATTAGGAAGTTTTGCCTTGCTTGTTTAGTGGGAAAATTAAATGAGCAAACAAAAGACGGTAAGCATATGATCAGATGGGCCAGGCGATTCGTTCATCTTAATCCCTGATAGGTAAGATTTAGTTTTCACTGTGGGCTCAGAATGTTAATGTTTACGATATTAGAAAACAATACCTACTATACTATCTTTAATATAAGAGCTAGTTAACTAATTTGAGTAGATTAAGAAAATCAATTAAGTTAGTGATTTGTAATAAATAAGTGTTGTGTTTCCCAAAATATCCTTATTAATCAAATGTATTAACCAGAACTACTATTATTATAAGAACTATTTTGAAAAGAAAATGAATAAATATAAGAAACAAAGTGGATTGAGATTTTATATTTAGAATCAAAATAAAATTTAAATCAGCTCTTATATTAAGAATCAGGCTAATAATAAAGATATATACACATGAGAAATAATCATCCATGAGTCAGAATTAACTAACTAGTTAGTAGTCACCAGCACAAAGCAATACAACAAATCAAAGGAAACAAAATCTAAGACAGAAGATTAACCTATGTAAGTATAAACGTAAGAGCAAATTATTAACTAGGTTCGACCTCCACCACCACATGCTCCACCGCCTCCTCCACATCCTCCTCCACCGCCACCATGATGACCTGCACCCCATCTTCTTCCCGGGGGGGGGTGGTAATCGGCACAAGAAAATTAAATATGATCATTGATATTAGTGAGACGGATATAACAATCATCAGTAATAGCATTAAGGCACCTGAACCAGATGCTGCTGATGATTTGATCTTCATTTCTTCCACCAAAGACAAAGATATCTCTGGCCATCTCTTTCTCTCCACTGCTTTCTCAGAGACTGTGCGCTGAATAAGTGTGTGTGGATTGAGCTTTTAAAGAAAAGACCACGTAAACTCACTCCTCCTCTCAATTTCGGGGAGCATAAATGCTGAAAAGGACAGAGGGACACTTACTGATCAGCGAATTAAACGTGTTTTGCAGTGAGTGGCTCAGAGATTTCTAGCACTTGGAAAAAAAATGATAGGTCTCTCCGTCATAATTACTCGTTTTGGAACTTCTTGTTGAAAAAAAGGCAATAGAGTTAATAAGTTTATTGATTGTGTTTTGATTTTATCTGAAGTTTTCTTTTTCTTCGTCGATGTTAGTTTATTTTGATGTTATCCTCTATATCATATTCATAACTGATTCAAGCTATTACCTTTGACAGATACCATTAACATTATCAGCAGAGCCCCGTACGGATGTGCAGAAAAAAAAAGAAATTTATAGTCTGTGCCTCTTTTTGGAGACCAAAATGACCCGGCGTGTTTGCCAACCCAAAAATTACTTTTGAAAAATATTTTTTCATAAATCAAGATAAATTTTTTTATATATTTATTTTGCATATCGTAAAAGTATTTTTAAAATCATGATTTTGTTTTTACTCAAATACCCTCAAAATGTGTTTGAGGGGATTAATGTTCAGTCTCATTTGGGGCCTAGGAATAGGATATTGCATAATTGATAGTTCTATAATATATATACACACACATGTATGTATGTAACAGCGTCTAGGAAACATAAAAGGGCATTAAATCAATCAATAGAAATTAACGATCGAATTGAAATAAGAAATATATGGCTGAAACATATACTCAACTATCAAAGATCCTTAAAAAAAAAAATGTTGAAATAAAGACCAATAGCTGAAACAGATCAAACTGAAACAAAAGTAGTCCTTTTGGGAAATACTCTGTGGAAATATGTCTTTTACTATAGCTGGGCCTTGACCTTGGCATGGACCTTGGGCTTAGGAAGGTTATTCCTCAAGTGAACACCTGATTCGCTGTGAATGCCCAACCAAGGGGTCGAGCAACCCGAAGAATGAAGATTGCCAAGTCATCGATCGGAGGAACAATATTAGTACTATATGAGTACAACGGAATCAATAAAAAGCTCCATCTTATTTAACTTGATTGGTAAAATGACATCAAGGTCCAAAAAAAAAAAATCGGTAAAATGACAGTAGCAAATCATACACACAACACACACATAACAATTAACAAAAGGACAATCTATCAGCGCAAGCAAATTGACAGTTTCCTCTAACATCAATCACCACCGCCACAACCTCCGCCACATGCTCCTCCATCACCATTGCTGCCGCCGCCGCCATCATCACCACCGTCCCTTCTTTTTTAGACCTTGGGGGGTTACTATTATCACCTCCAGCCAGTCATAAAACTCAGTCCATGTTCATTTCCACCGTCAACGAGTTCTCTGGCCATCCTTCCCTTTCCTGCTTCCACATAACCTCACTTGTAACTTAACGTTACTACCACAGGTTATCTGCAAAACTTGCAGTATGTGTGGGGTCTCTGTGTGTGGGTCTGTATGCGCGCGCACACACGTACGAAGACACCCACTGGCCACGGCATGCGGAGTGTGGTCGTGTGTGGATTTAGGTTTGATGAATCTTCACGCAATTCTTAAATTTCGAAGAAGTTGCATGAAGAATATTAATTTTAAAAAAAAAAAAAAACAGTGATTGTCCCCGTACTGTCAACCCACTATCATTTAAATATTATGTTATGGGAGAGTGGGGTTTCATGTTAAATATAATATCTTAATTTATTTTGTCTCATAAATTTATAATTTTTTTTAAAAAAAATATTCCTATTGGATGTAAGAGTTCCTACCCAGAACTAGTTGTAATGTAAATTATCAAATAAAGTAATTTAGAAAAAATCACACATTTGTCACCACTAACTGGCTAACTAATTTTTTTTAATCTTTTAAATTAATTATTTAATTCTTATATTAAAAATGGAGCTAATATATTTCTAATGGCTCGTGATACGAATAGCAGAAATTTTTGAATCTTCTTATGAACCCGGCTGCGTTTCGCGCGGGGGGAGTTGACCGACTGGTGGCATACTGGTATAACTTAATAGTTCAAAAACATATAATAGTAGTTTACTTCAGGTGAGATGAATTAGTAATGTTTGTGAGGCGGGGAATATTATATCAGATCGTTTGCGTGTAAGTAAGAATTTCTGATTTCTGAAAGCCTCCAAATAATCAGTCTTGAGAGGGAGATGACACTTGAAAGTGATACACACACAGGTATGAAGCAAAATCTATATATTTTTTGTTAAGTTGATAATTTATACCACTATTGATTTCTATTTATCTATCTGTGGATTGGCAAAAAAATATGTATGTATCTGTAAGATCTGCAGGAGCTGGTTACTGGGGTTAACGTCATAAGCAGCTCCGCTACTTTTTTTAATTTTTTTTTCCAGATTTTGGCCAAAACATATCCATTGATTGTCACAGACCAGGTCAACGCCTTTGCCACCACTATTATATTATTATTATTATTATTAGTATTATTATTATTATTATTATTATTTTGCCTGAGTCAATGTCTTTAGATGGTTGGTCGTTGCAGATTCGCATCAGCAGGTGCGAAATGTCAGTCGCATCTGACGCACAGACATAATGGGATTGATATTTGCGTTTCTACATTTTTTTTTTTAAGAGCGTAATAAAATCGCAGATTTTTAGAGGACATATTAAAAACATTTCAAACAGAAAAATCAATTGAAAGCTAAAACTGAATGTAGTTTCATTTTTAATTAATAATAAAAAAATACGAATTAATAATACAATTACAATTTAAAATACATAATAGATTCTGTATTTATATTTCTAAATTGAAGTAAGGGGCTTTCTTCATTTGCAAAGCATTTTCTCTTGGGCCGAAGGGGATGTGAGAAATTCTTACGCAAGCTTTCTTCATCAAGAATTTTCACATGGCCCCCGTTTGGCCCAAAGAAATTGTTATTTTTTTCTTGTCTGCTTTTTGGTAAACAATTTGTTGTTGTTATATTTATCGTGCTTTTTCATTCTAACTTATGTGCTTAGGCCCAAATGAATCTTTTTCGTCCTAAAGGTGAGGGCAACTAAAGTGGGCCTGTGCAGACTTCGGAATAAACCACATTATTTCCCACCTATCAATTCTGGCCACTTGACAAGCATTAAAGACTGAAACTCAAGAAAAGCTTGCAATTTCTTTCCTTGATTATATTCTTTAAATTTGAAATGGGTAAAACACCTTCAGCTTGATAAATTAGAAAGAAAATATTACTTGAAACATCTTATTACATTAACAGTATGAAATAAGGTTGTGATTTACAGTTTCACTTATATACATCACCTCTGTATACTATGTAGCAGCAAAAGGAAGACCCGTGGTGTAGAACAAAAAGATCAAAAGAATTACATAAAAACCTTTAAACAGTCAAAGAAATTGCCCATTTCAGCAAGCAAATAAAATAATCTGCGGCCTTCTCTTCATACAAGCTCAAGCTTCAGGAACGGGAGCCAGCAATTCCTGGAAAAAGTAAATGAAGATAAGCATGAATTTCCCTCAACAGTAGTTAGTAGTTACAACTAAAGTGATACCCAAGTAATTGAATTAATTACCTCAGAAAATCGCAAGTGCCCATCATGATGTAGATCAGATGATTTCACAATTGTTTCCCACTTGGGACTTTGTCCTCGTCCATGAATGTGAGCAACAGGAGAAGACCGCAATGATATGTTCCTCGAGGAAATGATAGGTAAGGTACGGTTAAGCCAAGACTCGGAAGGAGCTTTGGGTAAGGGAAGGGCAAGAGGAAGCTGAGAATTCTGTATATCTGAGTTTCTTTGATTGCTTAGTTTCATCAGTCTTTGGCTTTTTAAGTCAGTCTCACAATCGCCAACCACTTTTGGGCTAGCCAATGTACGAAAATCTTGACTCAGACCTTGGTCAACAGGTTTGGTAGCTTCTCGTCTCTCTGACTCTGCTTCCACATCACCAGCCAATTTATATTTTCTACTTGATATAAAGGAAGTCTGAATTCGGCCATGGAAACTTTCTTGATCTCTTGCCGAGTCTATCTTCTCACATTCCCCCACCTTTGGACTTGAATTCTGAGATAAGTCTCTTCCTTGGTTGCCTAACTTATTGGAAAGTTTTGTCTTTTCCACGTGCATCTCATTAATAGATTTATCAGAACATGGGAGGAGAAATGAATCAAGAGACTCTAAACCTTTAGCTGGTGATGTAGCCTTCTCATCCGCAACAGTCAATAGCTTACTATCTTTTCTGGAAATCTCAAAATCGTCCCTTTGGTGATTGGTCTGAACCTTCATTTCAGAAGCATTTAAACCTGAATAAGGTTTGACCTTTTGTACAGAGTCCACATACAGGGTTTTCTCAACAACTGGGCTTGTGCAGCCAGTATCACATTGGGTGCCCTCAGAGAGTGGTAATGCGCTGCAGCCCCTTCGATGTTGATCAATGCCATATTTAGATTTCCGAGGAATGCCTGTTGAATATTTCTCTTCTGTAAAGCCAATCTTGGAATCTGATGACTTTTTCTCACAGTAAGCAGTTCTTGCATTCTGCTGGACAAGAAAAGTGGATCACCTGATATGAAATGAGAAAAAATGAAAGAAGAGTAAGTAGAGACAAATTAATACCATTTTTCCAGTTTCACTATAAGGAGCGCTTAATCTAGCATGCATCCCTGGAACTGGTGAATTTAGCATCCTATCCTGCATTCTCAAACCAGGTATTGGATTCAACAGGCAGAACCGAGGAAATAGGCCACAAATTTTGCCTGTGTTGTCCCCAAATTCACTGTAAAGGTCATCTTCATCTTCGCTTTCTTCCCTACATAATTCTTGGGCATAAGGTGGCAAATTATTTGGCCTCTGCTGACTCACTGGATGGCGTCTTTCTCTGGCCATTACCTTCCTTACCTGTCTTGGTTGTTCTCGTGCAACAGGTAGCTTCTTGGAGGCGTACTGAGGAGTTTCAGAAGCCACTGCCTGTGCTGCAGGTAAGAACCGATCAATCATGAAGGCACGGGCAAATTGATCCTGTGAGATACTCCGAGATAGATGAGCCTCTTGCTCGTCCAATCCACTCAAGCCACTAATACTACAATTCATGAAGAATGATTCAGTTCTAGACAGCGTATCAAGTGCGTCTTGATAGGCCTCATCTCCATCATCGGAAACAGAATCAGCCTTTTCTTGGATTGGCTTTTTGGGGCTCTCACATTTTTTCACATCAGATGTAACACTTTGAGAAGTGGATACGTCCTTGTTAATAGAATTAACACTTGAAGAATTGGACACGGAGCTTCCTTTTCTAGGTTGAGTTACTGATGTGCGTCTTGAAGCTTTATCAGAATCTTTCTGTTTGACTTTCAAAACCCTCCCAGGTGGAAGATTGGGAGTGATAGGAATAGAAGATGGTCCACCAACCTGTGTCTGTAATTTTTTTTCATCCTTGGGTCTTCCAGGAGTTTGCTCCCATACAAAAGGAACTGTTCCAGGATTCCTAATCGGACCTGATTTCAACTCTGACCTGTAAGTAGGAAGAGGAGGTAGTCTGGCTGATGAATTTTCAGTTTTCCTTTTATTGTCCTTTTCAGAGGCAACTGTAGACGAGAATCGCCTCACAGATAAAAGTGGCTGATTAAAATCTAACTGCTTTTCTTCCATTAGATATTTTGCAGTATCATGTAATTTGTTTCTGTAGAACACCAAAATAAAAACCAAGTTGAAACAACACTAATTGCGCGTTTTTTACTAAGATCTATAGAATATAAGGAAAAACAAATGTACATAATTGCACTTGTCAGTTCTACATATTCCACAGGGAAGTGTGTGGAATAGAGAACTAGTTGAAGGAAGATGACCCCAAGGCAATCGACACTTGACTAGCGATGATGCAATGGCGATTGACTCACAACTAGAGGTTGGGGATATAAGATTTTCTTCCCAGCAATGGTGATTGACCCTTGACTGATTAGTGAAGCCTAGAAAGTGGACAGTACTACTGAACAGGAGACATTTGAATTAGTTTTTCCCAAGATGAAAACTTTTTGTTGTGTGTTGGAGTTTGCTTAAAGACCTCTCCGAATAGCTTTGTGATTGGGCCGCCCTAAACTGCTGATAGTTTTATCTGAAAACAGAATCTTTAGTCTGTACACCCATCTAACACGTTCGCAATATGTGAATTTCGAAATTGTTAAAAACTTAATACACCAGGACCAAACAAACCATTTCGATAATCACCCTGAATTATTAACAAATACTAAATTAATTGGACAAATGTTTTTGCATACTGCTTGAGAAAAAGAAAAGCAAGGAAAGAAAGAAAGAAATTCTATAAATTCTAGTTAAAAGCATATTGAGCTGCAAATATGTCATCAATCATCAAGGGCAGGCTAATAAAAGAAAGCTAATCTAGAGCAGGGGAAAGGATGAAGACGTGAAGTAAATAAGATGTCCCCGGAAGAAGCTCAACTATTTCAGTATTTTAATTTCCTACGCAGTTTTTAACTGACTAAACAATAATCAAATAAACCAGCCTACGTGCAAACAGAACAGACACTCGTCAGAGCAATGCAAACTTCAGATTCATCAGTAACTGCTAAAACGAGCATCAGTCAAACGTCTAGCAGGAAAATGAGCAAGAAAACTCCGAAGAATCGCGAATGCATTGAAATCAAGAAACTTCAATTTCCCCTCGGGATAAAGATTTATTCTTTTTCTTGACATCTTGCCAGCAAACAAGAAAATCCACCGCAGCGCTCACCGCTATTGACTAAACCCAGTAAACACCGACATCGAAAGAGAGAGAGTGAGAAAGAGGAGAGATGGGTTCGGAGCAAAACCTGAGAAAAAGGACCCCACAGAGAAACCAAACCGCGTTCTTCCTTGGAATACAGTCGGTGAGTACAAGCTGCAAACGCCTCCCAGGAAATTTCTTATATTGCCAAAGAATATCACTCGAAGAGGACACGAAAGAAAGAAGGGTATAAAAGAATTATGGCTTGCAAGAAGCGAGAGAAAGAAAGTGAAGAAAGGGGCTGAGAAAGAATAAACCGGATTGTACGTTTGTGTTTATTACTCCATTGCAGTTGCGACCTTGCCCGCTGATGCTGCAAAGGCAGCTTGATTTTAATCATCTATTTCTTTCTTTAATGCTTTCAAACATGAAATCGTTTTTTAAATTTCTGTATGAGAAATTGAACGTTGGTGCGTTTAATTAATTTAATCAAACAATTAAACTAATAATTAATGTTACTTCTGAAGATTTTGGTGCATTTATTTTAGGACCACTTGCTGTGGGATCATGTGAAAGCCATGGCCCCTGGGGGTGGCGGGTAGAGATTAGAGACGCCTACACATAAAAAGGGATATGAAAGCTGTGTGAAGATTGGTGAGAAGGGATGGCCCACCTTCTTTCCGTGTTTAATTATTGCGAGTAATGATCTGTAATCGATCTTTTAATGAGCAAATGGGTCCCACTCTTTTTTTTTTTTTTTTGCGTTTTTCTTGTTAATGCTCTTTTCTTATTTTGCTTCGCAAGGTATAAAGTCTCAGTCCCCAAAAATAATAAAAGGAGCAAGGTGTAAAGTTATTTTCTTCTATTTCTGCGATTTCTTTTCTTTTTGCTAAAAGAAGAATATACTAAATTAGACCATTAAGTAATGCTTTGCTCTCTTAGAATATTAGATTTTTTTTAACTTAATTAGCATTTTATGTTAATTTTCTATTTTCCTAATAACTTGCGCACTTGCACAGACGATTTTCTATTTTACTTTCTTATCCATTGATTATTAATTAATACTACTACCTAATAAGTGTATGCCGAATTTTCAAGAAGAAAGAAAAGGACAGGTAAAGTCTCGCTATCATTTCATATCAATCAATAATGAGCTGATGGTATGAATAATATAATAGCAGTGAATAAGATACAACGTAGATGTCATAATGTTTGAAGATAATGAGCAGAATATAAATTATAATCAATAATTAGATAATTAACAATCGAATTAGGATGATGTTTAGAATGAATTAATTGCCCCGGCCACCAGGATATAATTGTCTGAACCTTTACAAGCTCTTACGGGAAGGAATAGATTCTTAAGGAGATGGAGTCGAACCGGTATAAACTTTTAATAGTTTAAATCAATTAAAATTATATTTTGCCTCCTGCATGTGGGATGCTAGGCCTATTCGTAATTATCAATCTATTATACTATAAAATATGTTGAAATTATAAAATCTCGTTCCTCTCTCGAAGAAAGGATATTATGGACTGTTTAAAAAATAAAGTATCTCCTTCGGAAGTCAATAATTGATTATATAATTATAATAATTGAAAATGTCAAGCCATAGCATCCAAAATTTGCATTGTACGATCTAAGATGGACTCAATCATATATTTTCTCTGGTGACAATATATGAATTAGATAATTAATTTATAAATATTAAAAAATTAAATTAATTACTTATAAAAAAATGTGTATTGATTTTTAGACAGTTCTTTTAATATCATCTTCATTAGCACCGAACTTTTTGATGAAAACCTCCTATGATAGGTGTAATCAACAAGAAGAAGTTAGAGAAAAAATTATCAATTTTAAATATAAAATAGATTGAAATTTTAAAAGTAGAATCTAAACATACCCATATTAGAAAATAAAAGTTAATGATGCAATCATCATTTGATAAGCAAGTAAGGCCTTCTTTGTTTGGCCAACAAACAAGTAAGGTCCATTTAAGAAACATATATGAAGCTTCCTACATTATTTTCAAACACTCTGGGGATTTATATTTTCAGTGGACGCATATATGCACCTTATATTATTTATATCTTGTGAACTAACCCCAGACAACTTCACGCATCATACTTTTTTAATTTATATTGTGCAACGCCCAAGAGCCAGGGGAAAAATATTAGATCCAATTAATGTGTCAGCTGACTGAAAACATGTGGGCAAAAGAATATATAAATATATATATCTGTGTGTGTGTGTGTGTGTGTGTGTGTGATGGGATGGAAGTGTTTGACTTGGAGGGAGCTATGGGGAGCAACATGAGATGTGCCATCGAAAAGAGAGATGATTTATTATGAGATGAAGTTTGCGAATTCCAGCTCATTGCCCACATATTTGAACTCTGATAAGTCAAGCACCGATTTTTGAGACGTCATGTGGGTGGGTGCTTGGTTTAGTACTATGGAGGCTTGCATGAATTATCTAAAACACAACAAAAAGGGTTTCTTCCTCGTTTGACTTGTCCATTCCTTGATTTATTTTATATATATATATTTCCTTCCTCCTCCTCCTGTACGAGATTGTCATGTTTTGTTTGGCCCCTCGTACTTCTGGACCACTTTATCTTCCCTAGTCTTTTCCTCTCTTTTATTGGACGAAAATGTTTGGAGGACCATTATGAACTTATCCATAAACAATGTTCATTCAATCAATGCATCAACATCCATATATTAGCAGGCAGCTACCATGAATATTACTTAACTCATCGTCAAATTATGTACAGTGTGTAGAGAAGAAGAAGAAGAAAAAACACGTTCTTTTCATCCTAACTTATAAATCACCGTATAATTTTTTTTTTTTGTATTTATATTCATAATTCATTCTGTTTAATGTACAAAGCAACTATTTTTTTTGTGTAGTTCATGGTATTTGTGAACAGAATTTGCATTTAATTAGATATATTTTGTGAAAATACATGAAAATATCAAATAATTATTTTTTTTGCTAAAGCATAGGTATCCTCTTATTAGAGGTAATCTTATTCGAGGTACTATCGGGCACTAAATGTGGGTACATCTCCTAGCAAAAATTTGAACCTTCGTTTGCGACATGATGTGAGTGGCTAGCTCTTTCTGCTAGACCCAATCCTATTGATAATTAAAAGATTATTCGGAAGTTGAGAATCCAGGTCAAAAAAGAAATTCGAGGAGAGCATAAGCTGGGTGGGAGCTACCAAATCCGGCCGGCTCGTTGCCTGGGCTCATGCACTCAATATTAGGCCTAAAGCCCAACAACCATTTCGTAAGGTGGAACCATAACTCCTCAGCCACCCCACCGTTGAATTGTCCAGAAATAGAGGAAAAACATTAAACATGTCAATAAGATTAGTTGTCTGTATCGGGGAAAAAAACAGTGTCGGTGAGACTTGCAACTTTTTTGTTTAAAAAAAAAAAAACTTAAATGAGTTAGTTTTCTAGGTTCACAATGACGAGATATGCTTTCAGGGTCAAAAAAAATCTACTAAAATGCTTATATATCACACATCACCAAAGTTTTGATATCAACAATAGTTTGAATTTACAATTTTATACTCCTTATCAATTAGATTAACCTTTGTTTAGCCAATGCTCAACAACTTTATATGCACAGACATAGACACACACATATAGCTTCAAAATACACAAATTTATCCATAGAAAACTTTAAGAGCTTAAATGTAACTCCATTTCAATTGATATTTCTCCAAATGAGGTGGCGGTGGGAGTGTGAACATTGCATATGAAATATATCACGTTAAAGGGTTACACGAGTACCGAATTGGTGCATAAAAAACACGCAAGACTTCTGTGACATGCCCTGATTTGTAATGATCTTTACTATCTGTGAGGTTCGGTTACAAGACAAAATTTATCAGTTTAGGTCCTGTATTTAGAGAGAGAGGGCATGCGTGGATGAGTCTAAAACCACAAAATCTTATGCATAGTCACATTCTGCTGTACGTGTCACCCATATAATATATTCAAATTACCTGAGCCAGAGGGGCAAAACCCCCCAAAAAAAAAGGATAAGATAAGATAAAGAAGGAAAGGCAACACTTGTCATAAAACCCCAGATTTAACCCGGTTTGTATTTTTATTGGTGACCTAACCAGGAAAATTACAGGCACAATAAAGAGGAACGGGAAGATTCCCAACAAAGGGGCGTGATTGGAAAGATACACACAACCGAACTTGCCGTTCAATTTCATGAGAAGAAAACCATGTTTGGACCGACCCACCAGCTCCCGCTGCTGCTGCTGATGATAATGATAAGGTATTGAAGACGAAAGCGTGAGAATAGGCTTTTTTTCCCTTTTGGTTGAGAGAACAAGTTTGCTTTTTCATGTGTGCAAGAAAATTACAAAATAAAATAAAGGACACTCACTTATCTTCTGCATCTGTGTTGGCCAAAGCATGGACAACATTTGCCTGTTTTCCAGTGTCATTCAAGCTCAGCACCTATTCCCCCTCTTTTCATCATTATAACCCCCTTCCCTCCCTTAAAGTCCTAGCTTTTTCCTTGTTTCCCTTTTTATGTGTGCTTTCTTAATCAAATAGTCTGCTAGTCAGGATGTTACCATCCTACCTTTTTTTTTTTTTTTTTTTGAATTCTTATCACAAGATTGTTACAATCGGTGTTAAAGACTCCTTTAACAACTTATCATGTTGGGAAAGCTTTTCTTTAAACTTTTGACAATCTTTTTCAACTCTTAATGTTAATTGGCAGAATGTTTTAATTTTGCCTTTTAATTTTTGTTGTTCATTTTAGACCTTTTCCACTATTAGTTTTTTTATAATTTCTTAACAACTCTTTTTTTTTTTTAATATAACTTAACAACTCATTTTACTTTGTTGACTATTGTAATTTGTAAACTTATACTACCTCCGATCTTTAAAATAAAAACTCATTTGATTTTTATTTTAGTCTTAAATATAAGATCTTAATTCACTCTATCTCTCATATTTATTTATTTTTTTTAAGTTAATCTTTGTAATAATTGTAGTTCTAGCCAATATACTTAGTTAATAAGGATATTTTAAGAAAAACAACGCCTATTTATTATAAATAACTAACTTAATTAGTTTTCTTAATCTACTTAAATTAGTCAACTAGTTTTTATACTAAAAACCGGATATAGTATTATTTAGTATAATTTTGTAAACTATGTCGGATTGAGGTAATCAGCATTGAGTGTTTAATTTAGCTGCCGCACGCTCAGCTGTTGTTTCACATATTTTTTTATAACCCATCTTAGTTGTCAAGCGTCAATATCAGTTTCCAAAACTCACGCAATACATGTAACCATG